TTTTAATATCGGCTAGCTTTTAAATAACATAAATATTAATGAATAATGCCATGCAAATTACGTTTAAAACAAAAGGTGTCGGCAGTTAGCCCGGCTCTTGATGGTGTAGAGGATACGATTGTAAATTGTGAATCACTGAATACGTGCAGAAGTACAAGCCTTACATACTCTGTTTTTCATTTTTTCCCCCTCCTTTTATTTACTACTTTAAGCAAGAGAGGATGAACTAGGTCCTTCATCCTCTCTTCTATCAGTTTTTCAAGCATTTTAATCAAGTAAAAACAGTGTGAAAATGACAGCCTCCTTCTAGTCGCAACCGTTTTCTTTTCTTTTTTGTCTTTCCGTATTTATTCGATTAACCGCCCTGGGCACTTCTTACATTTTTGGACCTTAAAAGAGTGGGCTCTTATTCAAGGCTGGGCGCTTATCAAATATTCACCATTTTCAGCAAGTGTAGTATGTTTATTTTGCAACAAAACAATAAACGGTAATAACAAAACTCAAAGATGTAACAAAGCAAGGTTTCTGCAAAATACTCTGAAGAAGACTCCGTCTTCGGGGAAGTCTCTTATTAGTACTTATTCAGTGTCAATTTCACCCAGGGACATTTGAGTTGAAACTTTGAGGAAAATTCCAACATTTTCGTAGACAATGAATCTAGAGAATGTAGCCAGTCGAATAAATAATGATCAATACTGCTCTTTTAGTGAGGTGGGGTGGGGGGTGGGCGCTCATTCGAGGCTGGGCGCTGATTAACTTTTTCTCCCTTTAGGTTGGCGCTTATTCGAGGTGGGTGCTAATTCGAGGTTGGTCGCTTACTCGAATAAATACGGTATCCTGACTTCTTCTGGCAACATTCCGCAAGGGAATGGAATTTCTGACGTTTTCCTTGTCGTACAATAATTAAAGTACCTCTTAAAATGTGTGTATGATAGAAGGCATGATATATTAGCGGAATCCGTTGTGGTCTCCATGGTTCCTTCTACACTTTTGACCACTCAAGGGCTTAATTCATGGCACATTCAATTCCTTCAGTGCTGTCTTCGTCCCCTACTCGCAGCCCCCTACCCCTTCTTTGTCTCTTTATCGCCGGTTAGAGCTCCTACGGTAAAATTCTCCCTTACAAGTATATTTCTTTACTTAACGTCTTTCCTGCGCGCTTATCGCATTCCCCAACCTTTAGTCTCACCAAAGAGGTCTCTGAAGAGGACAGAAGACTTGTTCCTTTCAATGGAACAATACAAAGCGATTGGCATTTACTGACATTTCAGAAACACTTCAGAAATATTCACTTGGAGATACCAATATCCTTAGTCAAGGTGGGGCTGCGTCTAAAGACATAATAAAAGCGACATTTTTCACATTTTTCATTTTTTGCTTGAACGGCACCGGCTGGGGACATTTGGAGCTTTAGTACAAAGACAAGTAAAATCGATTCAACAAAGTGGAATTTTTGGATATACGTACTCATCGCTTTACCGAGTCAGTCCTATAGTGGGTGGTTGAGTGGCCGGACGATTTTTACTGCTCTATGGCTACCCCAGTCGATTCTTGTGGAAAATCCCACTCGCGTTGTGTGCAGCCAAAGTTTTACTTCGTTGCCGCAATCGATATAGAAGCAAGTTATATTACCAAGCTAATAAGATGTGGTAGTATCCCTAGCATCCTACCCCCGTACTCCACGGAAGAGGTCGAAAAGAGGCCACCGCAAGCATGTCTCATGATCAACGAAAATTATGTAATATTGTTAACTTCTCAAAAGACGACAAGCTAAACTAATGAAAAAAAAAAAAGGTAAAAATGAGTAAAAATTTTGGAAACTTCTGAAAAATGGTTGCTAGAGTAACTTAGGCCCGTTTTAAACGTCGTGCTACTGCCGTGCCGAGCTAAATTCGATTGCCGTGCTACACTGCAGTAGCTCGACTTGGTCTCAAACCTCGCGCTACTGCCGCGCCGAACTCAATTCATAAATTATGAATGGCTGAGAATACATATGAAAGTTTGCTAAATCGTCTCTTTATTTTTGTGTTTTGTGTTTTTCGGCAACAGCCGTTCTATTCGACTGAATTAAATTCGACGTCTGAAACCAAGTCGTACTAGTGTCGTGCTGCAGTCGAGCTACAGTCAAGTCAGGTTAGTACGGCAGTAGCACGACGTTTGAAACAGGCCTTAACCCTCGAACCTAGCTAATTAGCACCGAAAATTCAATTTGCTTCCGGCCTTACAATGCATGGCCGTATACTTCCGTAAGAGCTCCTGACGAAAGTAGACCTTCTTTTTTAAAAAAATGTAAGACTTTCGACTTACTCACGGTTACATTTTTATCGGCAAAATTCCCTTAGGTTCTTTGACTAGTTTTTATTCTACTGATATTATATTCCAACATCCCAGTTGCACGATAAACTTCGATATTGCCTCCTCAGGATGAAGCTGTCAGCTAAAATATTTCCGACCTTAAAAAGCCCAAAATACGTTCTGAACTAACTGATCATGACATCGTCGAATGCTAAGAGTCGAGTACGCGGATGTTGTGGAGAAATCGGAAACCAGATCGAAGAATTCGGATACATTACGTCAGTAGGAATAAATCATAAGGATCCCTGGAGTAGAAAATCATTAGCAAACAAATACCAACAGCAAAGAAACAAAGAAACAAAATAAAATAAAATAATGATGGACAATATACAACGCCCAATATTCCTGTTTTTATTATTAAGTCTGTTGCCTTTTTTGGAATTTTTACGTGCCTGTCACTGGTTCTCAAATACAGTGTACTTTCTCAAGAACTTCCGTTTCTATTTATCGAGCGTTTAACGCTTTCAACCCTCATCAAGAATTGTGACTTCCTTTCGGCATTCCATAAATACCAAGATCAGACCGGTTTTTCTACTAATTGAAGGAAATGGTTAACTTGGCGCTTTAATTCTTGGTTTCTGGTTTGATCCCATCTGGGATAAGTTTCATGTACGGTTTCAGCCCAGCTGATATTGATAAATATACAACCGTGTGAAACTAAAAAGAAACTGTTAAATGATCAAAATTAACATCTGAGCTGAGGGTCGAGTATAGCGAGTTCGCACACTCTCTCACACGCACGAACCTCACGCTCTTGTTTTTCCTTTCGCTTTCAAGTAGAAATGAAGCAATTTTTTAGTAGTGAATTCTTAATTTGTTTTCTGATATTCTAATTTTTTTCCTAAACTTTTGGAATTACGAACAATAAAACTATTCGCCGACCAAGAGCTCAATGCAAGCCTGTAATATTGTAGAGCCGGCACATGATACTAAATCCGGAGAGGTATAATTTGAAAATGTTTGCGCCGGGTTTTTCTTAAGGGGCCCTGGAATCCCTAACCCGTCAAAGACAACAAAAATTTAAGTTTTTCACCCCATTACAGATTTGGGAGTTCAATAGACGACGAGCGGTTTCTCCCATTTGTTAGTCCTTCGAGCGAAACGCGCGAGACACCCGCGTGCACGCCGATCCCCAGGAAAAGAGAGACTGCTCTCAGTATACGAGCTATGAGTTGGATGAGCAGAAAAACACTAAAACAAGTAAAGTTAGATTTTTTTGAATGAACCCGTCTCAGACTAAAAAGGTCAAAATTGTTATCTCATCACTTACGTGAAAGGTCTGGCGGGTGAAAATTGGGAGCCCATATAGCGGGAAAAGCCGTTTACCGTATAAAAGGTAGCTCACACCCCGCCCTCTCAACCACGCCTTGGGTACCAAAACCACCTGCTCCGGGCTTATATTGGGCCGGGGTGCCGAGGCAAGATTGTCAGAACATCGTGGTGGGTAAACCAAAGCTATAAATTACTACGGAACTAAAAATCCATCATAATAGAATGCTTACAGTTACAAAATCACGCGATTGAGTAACTCGTGCTCTTTGGCATGCAATGGGGCACTTATTGTAAAATATTAATGGCTAAGATAAGCAAAGGAACATTTCGACAATTTTGCAAAATATTCCATCTGAAATATCAAAAATTGCGTATTAAAGACTCACAGGAAAGCCCTGTTCAACATTTTAAATTTCGATCAAATGGTCACGCTATCGGGCAAAATTATTAAAATCAAAGACCATCAGATTAGTTAGTTAACCAGCGCAAGTTGAAATTACGTCCACAGTTTAGCTGAGTAAAATGCCGTTTATTTGTCCCAATCTTACACAAGATATAGCTCTACTAAATTCGCGTGACTTACAGCACCCTTTTAGACTGGCATCCTAGTTTTATACAGGATCTTTTAACACCTTAAGTGTTTTAATCCATTCATCCGTGCAAATATGCTTGAGCGATCAAGGCCAGCAGACTTTGTAATTACAAAAATTTGCCAGTGAAACATAAACCTGTGACGGAATTATTCATAAGCAAGATCTCCATGCAATGAAGGAAAATAAATTCCAAGAGAGGGATTCTGTAGACCCCAGGGTCGTCGTAATGTTTTGTCGCCAAGCTTCAAATAGTATTTTTGTCTCCAGAGCAGAGCGGAATTGCATTTGGACTAACTTTCCTTAGATACACCTTCAAAATAAGCTTTCTCTTTGAAATTTGAGAATTTGATGAAAAAAACACAGGTGCCTTCTTAATTGAACACACGTAACAAATTTAAGGTTGCGTCCCGCGATTTTATTTCCCGCGGAACAAACTAACTCTTTTCTGATTCATGAGACCATGAAAATATTATGGTAATGTTTTCATAGTCTCTTGAATCAGAAAAGAGTTAGTTTGTTCCGCGGGAGATAAAATCGTGGGACGCAGCCTTAAATTTGTATACCGCCATGATCACTTTACTTCCATCAATACCATATATAGATGGTGGGAACAGAGTATTCAATGAACCGAGATGATTCACTTGTTGTCTGCGACCAATAAACACCAAGACCCATAAAACCATAAAATTTTCACGTTCAAGTTGCGAGAACACGCGAGGCGTTTTTCATCATTTCACCCCATTTTCAACCCACAATTCCTCGGATCTTGTGAGTTGACGTCATCAAGGGGAACGGTTTGTAATATTTCACTGTGAAGTTTCGAGACGTAAACTTATAGCTTTGGCTTGATTGAGCCGGCTTTTCTCTTGTTTCGTCGATAGATTTCTAGAAAAGTAAATTTTCTGTGGTATTGTGTTTGAAACATCTTGCCGTCCTTATGCGACAGCCGGGAATGAGTATTTCTACGGGCGACAAGGAATTGGAATTCGCCGACCCGAAGGAAGAGGCGAAATACTGGAAACAATTTGCTGAAGACTTGGAGCGAAAGTGAGTGGTTAAAGGACCATGTTCTTTTTTTTAGTTGTGCTGTTAAAGAATGGAAGAATGAAGTTTTAATTTTAACGTTTTTTTCTGGGAAAAGGTTGCAAGAAGCAAGAGATGAACTCGATGAGTTTCAAGAAGGTAGTCGCGAACTAGAAGCAGAGTTGGAAATGCAGTTGGAGCAAGCCGAAGCCAGACAGCGAGAGCTTTTAGCTGCCAAAACCCGGCTAGAGACGGAAAACGAAAGCTTGAAGGTAAATGGGAAAATATCGACTAACATTTCTTAGGTTTTTTTCGCCCTGTTGTTTAAGTTAGAGTTTGTAAATAATGCAAGACTTGCTTGCGTACGCCGACAGCCATGTTTTTATCAGGTTCTTGATAATTTGTCGTTTGACCTAATGTTGAAATTAAAATATTCTCTTCTCTTTTTCTCTTAGGCGCGACTAGATGCCAGCCAGAATGAATCCTACTTAACGATATCATCGCTACAAGATGAGGTTGCTCAACTTAAAGCTGTGCGGGAGGAAGTGCAAAAATACGTTCGGGAACTCGAGCAAGCGAACGACGATCTTGAGCGAGCGAAAAGGTAAATTACCAACTTTAGACGTAACATTTATTTATTTTCGTAAGAATCATCGCGAAGTGGTCTATTTATTTCCATTTCTTTAATCATTTAACTTACAGCCTAATAATATTTTCGCCTCGTTAATTGCGTTTGGATGTTGTGCTGTCTTGCTCAAATTACTAAATTTCGATACGTTGTTATAGACTGCAATATTTATTACAATCTGCGATATTGAGTCAGAGAAACTGAATCATTCGGGGAGTTAAAACATTACGACAGATTGTTCTGTTTATTAACATAATTTTGTTTAAATATTATGGGTCATATTTAAGTCTTGCCGTGTGCAAAGTACAATTCAGGCATGTGACATTCTCGCATTGTTGATCAGCGAAGAAGGAAATATTTTCTAACCTTGTCGTGGTATCGATTTCTGTTAGTACATGTACTGGATTTTAATTGTGTTCACGTTTACAGATCAGAGCCTCTTAATCTCACCGATAAAAAATACTTTGATGTTGCAACAAATCTTGGGGAGCAAAACCGTTTTGCTTTTCTATCTGTAAAAGAGTGGATTGCTTAAACTTGTAACTGCTTTGCATAAATTGCTTTGCTTAGACTAATAAAATATGTTGATTTGATCTTATTGTATTGCAAAGAATGTGCTTGTGTTCTTATGTTGCCGGTCTATTATACACCATAAAGTAGAGTGCTCTCTTTTATGTTGGACCTACCTTGTCAAAATAGAACTGTAGTTAAATTTAACATTTTAAGTATTTCTAGGAGTAAAGATGGGAATTTTAAATGTTATCACTGCGGGATAAATAATCTTTTAATTCAATTTAATTCCCTTTGTGTTTTTTAAAAGGATGAATTCAAAATATTTCCATGGAAGTTAAGTTTAAAGAAGTATGGCTGCCTTTGTGTGACCTAATTAGCACACTGGGATAATAAAGGAAAGAAAAGCATTCACTGTACCATGACAGTTTATGCACCTTTTCATATAATTTTAAATTTCTTTAAACTACTTTGATCAGATAGAATAGGCTTTGCAAAGCTTGTTTTTATCAGAAATGGCAGATTTTGCATTTTAGCAAGGCTGTTTCATTCCAGCTTGGGTCAAAAGGGTGGGACACCTGTTGAGCTTGTGCAAAACAATCTTTGTGTTGATGTCTCACCCTACTGGGAGGAATATTTACTTTTAATTTAAACATAACTGGTCACTTGAATGTTTGAAGAATTAGCAACCTTATGTAATATTTTATGAAATTACAGTTTGCTGGATAAAGTTCTGTCTGCTGTTATATTGATTTAAAATTTAATCAAAAATTAAAGTCGACCTCTCGTGACTTCGTCGCTCACTAAAAAGGCTCTCCCTACTAGCCAAGAGGTTGACTTGTAGCAAGTCTAAAGTGAGGCTGGTGCTGTTTTTTTCTTGTTGAGTAAAATAAGTGGTTACCTTTACTGTTTGCGTTTCAGGGCAACAGTTTGCTCCCTTGAGGACTTTGAGCAGAAGCTAAATCAGGTGCGTTTCATATTAGTTTGATTGAATATCCTCTTGTGCTATTGTTACTTTGCCGCCTTAGCCCTTCTTAATAATACGAGTGAAAGACTGGTCCTAAGGCAGAATTTGATCTTGAAGTTTGAATTAGAAAGGTTTTATTATTACATGCTTAAGTGAATATTGATCCAAAATGAAGAAATAGTGTATTTTTAACCTGCACAAGATATAATAGGGTAACATCTTGCACTTGATTAACCACTGCTTAATGGGTTGTGTTGTGATTTCAACAACAAAGTGCGTAATTAACTTCTTATGGTGTCAGTGTGAGAAGCAGTGAGTAGAACTTCCTGGATCTCTTTTTCCTCAATCAGAATACGATACAAACATGCAGTGATGTTATATTTCTTTGTTAACTGTAGTGTCATAACTGCCAGAAATCCCTGGTGTGGCTGTGGTGGCTTAAATGTCTAAAATCGTTTTGATTGAACATTTGTTAGAAATAAACTCAAACACTTCTCGAAAGCAAAAAAGGGCTTCTTGCATGAAGTCTACTTCTGAGTTCCTCTTTAGCCTGAAGAATAACAAACCACTTAAATTTTGTCACAGAGATAGTCATAATACATATTTTTAATCCTGTCATTTGTCGTAAATAAATCTGATTTGTTTGGGTCAGGTTCCCCAGGAGTTAAAGGAGTGAATTCCTGAGATATGATATCTATCTTGACTGAGCATTTTTGGAATGTTCTATTAAATGTTGAGACACCAACAGTGCTTCCAACGTTGAAATGAAGAAAGTTTTAGCTGTCTCATCTGTGTTCAATGTCATAATTTTCCTTAGTTGATACTGTTTAGGTCATGTTTCATCATTGTTACATAACAGTGATTTTACTGACCCATTTTGTGCTGTCTTTTGTATTGTTTAGGCTATTGAAAGGAATGCTATCCTTGAAAATGAACTGGATGAAAAAGAGACACTTCAGGAATCTGTACAGAGACTAAAAGATGAGGCTCGAGGTAACAAGCTCTAACTTGTTATGCAAAATTAATTTAGTTAGACGGAACACTTAAGTTATTAATCTGACCCCAGTTAAACAGTTGGATTAAAATGCTGGCCATCTAGAAGTTGGTAAATTGCTTTCCAGTTGATGTGTTAGGGGAACACTGTTATGTTACATCGTTGATGACCGATGTATCAGTGAAAGGTACATGTGCTGTATCTGGAAAATTATCCAGCAAAGTTGTGTTTTGCCAAAAAATTGGGGAAACCAAATGTGTTGCCCAGATGGTGGAGATTTATTCAATGAATAGCATCTCCACCTTTTAAACAGCTGGGATCTACAGCTGTAGTGCCTAGCAGTAGAATTGTGAAACCAAACTTTGATTTTGTGATCATCTCTGAGGATGAAAAATTTACAGCGACACCTTTTTACAAACTTTTTGTTAACTATTGCTTTCCTGTCATTTTTCTATTGTTGCTATGCTTGTGAAATCAAGGTATTGCTTGCTACTTAAAAGTGGCAGATAGGGACCCAGAAACTGTATTTTATTTATTTTTCGAGGGCAAATAAAACTTTTCTTATTTCCCTTAATATTCAATGTTCCTGAGGGCTTAATTTTTTACAGGCCAAGATTGTTAGTTAAAAGATCAGTAGTACTATGGCTTAAGAAGGGGAGAAATCTATATATCATTGCTGTAATTTCTTTCGAGTTAAGCTCAACTCTGTAAAGGGACATCCTTGTAAGTGGACAGCTCTACCCCTCGTAGAGTCTGACTGAAAAGCCCAGTTAAACTCTCCACTTACAAAAACTATTCTGCTCCAGTTTCGGCCCACCTTCTGTCTCCTTAGGAAAGGAAACAGTATCAAAAGGAAGTCTCAGCTGTATTCTAATGCCATAATTTGTAGCTTAAGGTTTAACTTAAAGTCATAAAAATAATACCAGATAAAAAGTGTTGATTCTTAAGTAAATTCAGGTAACAGGCCATTTTACAGATACAAGTTAAAACGAGGATGGTGTTGACATTGTTTTGATACAACCCTTCGTGCTCTATTATGTAAATCATGTTGTTCTCATGCTAACTAGTATTTTTAAGCATAATTTCTCTGAGAAAAGGAAATAGACTTGTATCAAGACAAGGTCAGCCTCAGTGTCTTGTTCCATCAAAAGCTGGATACTGAGCCCATAACTGTAAAATGGTCTACTACCATAGGGAGAAATGCAAAGAGAATGATGCAGAGAATAAGCTTGGTGATAAACGATCGGGGCTTAGCATGTTTGCCGCACAATTTAAGGGGGCAAATTTGTTAGGCGTATATTCACCAGACACTCCATACTAATCCAAATAATGTGCATTGTTTTTCTTGCCAGACCTAAGACAAGAACTTGCAGTTAAAGAGAAAGAGAGGAGGAGGCCTAGTGAAAGTATGGAATTGGGTAAAGACAAGGGTCGTAACAAAGAAAACAAGGAGCCATTGAAAACAGAAGGAACGCCCACAAAGCCAGAGACTACTGGTCAGACCACAGACCATATCACTAATTTATCAACTACCTCCATTGGAACATCACCACTTCATACTGGCTATGGAAGCTCACCACTAACACCCTCAGCAAGGATTTCAGCTCTGAATATTGTTGGAGATCTTCTTAGAAAAGTTGGGGTAAGTTTCAAGAGAGTTGAATTATAGCAGTAATGCCCATTGCAGTTTGATAGTAAATGCATTGTCTAGTTTTTGATGATTGTCAGAGAACAATAATGTTATCATTGATGTTGTCTTAATCACTTGTTGTAAAATTGCTGTATAAACCTTTAAAATGTAATTAGCAATATGCCAAAACACTCGAAGTTTAAAGAACTGTTGCTAGTAATAATGTATGTGTTTTTCACAGTACAAGCAACCTTCCTCTCTTATTCCCAAAGATTTATTTTGTCAGACAACATGGTATTTTCAGTGATAACATCGATATTCTTTTCTACCTTTTCCAGGCTCTTGAATCCAAGTTAGCCTCTTGCCGTAACTTTGTCAAGGATCAGCCACGAAATGCAAGAGGATCAACTGGTTCTAACAGTCCTGCAGATTCCCCAAGGTAACAATTTTCCAGTACTCCTATTCTCTGTGTCGGTTCTTATACCCTTTTACCAAGTTCCTCTCAACAATTGCTCATTTTCCACTTCTTTTGTTATAGCATAGCTATATGTAGTGTCAAAGGAAGTACTGCTTTTGCTCTGACATTTGCAACTGGTTAGACTTTTTAATCTTTTTGGATGAAGACAAAATATTAATATTTTAAGTCTACCTCACAGCAGTTTTCTGGATCTGACACTTCTGGGATGTACCAATTTCTAGCAGTGAATGATCCATTTTTTCTTTCATTGATTGTGAACTTGGGTGGGTACCCAGGTAGCTTGCATGGGATGTACATGTATGAGTTTTGTTCAAGAGAAGGTGTGTGTGATTCCAATAATGTGGGTAAATAAAATACTGGTCAATTTGAAATGGATGCATTGACATGGGGTCATACTTTTTGTCTTTGGTTCTTAGCTCTGTGTTACATTATTTTATTTTAGGCCGAGCAGAATTCCCAAGAGTAACTATCAAAGCCCTGGAATGCAAGGTCTTGTCAAGGTGCAAGTGTAGTGAATGAAATATGTGTGAAAAAGAAATCAGTTCAATCACAACAGAAAGCTGTTTTTCACAACGAAACTAGTTTTTTTCAGTTGAACATGTCACACCTGTGACAGAAGTGTTGCAGCTGTGGAGGAGTTGTTGAGGATCAATGTTTAGAGTCAAAAAATGAAAATGGCTTGTTAACCCCGTGTCACACCGTTACAGCCGCTAGCTGCAGAGAGTTAACTAAGTTTTATTTAACACAGTGGTGTTGTAAAAAACAGCTTCAGTTGTGGTGACAAATTACCACTCCAAGAATAGAGTTGGTCATTTATTATTAGTCAGTCTGCTTACCGTGAAGTTCACTTATTGCATGACTAAGTTCAGTAACAAATGAATGCATGAACGAATGAATGAATGAGTGAGAGAGGAAATTTGCAGTCTGCTATCTCAAGTTATGTTAGAGAGTTTTAAATTCGGGATAGAGTTTGTGTCCAATTTGTACAGATATTTTGTATTGCTGAAAAGGCATTTTATTGTAACATACTTGTAGATTCAAAATCAAGTAGCACAAAAAAAATCACATTTATAAAAGCATTTAAGAATATTTAATAATTGTGCAGAGATACTGTATGGGAGTGTGAGAGAGAGTGTTGTCATTTAAGATTTCTAATACTTCCAAATATTTATTTTTTAAATGTCAAGTATCTTTCCAGCTGGCATTAATAACCTGGAAAGGTGTTACATATGTATTCCCATTAAATGAGATTTACTGTAATGTGGTCTTACAGACTTTTTTACGACACCGAAAGTTATTGTGGTTTGGACAGGAAAGTGTTCACTAAAGTTGAGCATTTATTCAATCAACTTAAAGATAAAGAGAGGCACTTGACAATAGAAGTAATCAGCCCTCCAACCTGCCACCATTTTGATTACCATGCCAAGTAGGAAAACAATATTGGGGAACTAAAATTGCAGCACAAGTAGTCAATTTGCAAGTCTTTGTATTGGGGGTCGTGTGCCAAGCCATATTGTTTGATTGGATAGTGCAATTACCTATAGTCTTCGCAATGTTTATATCAGATAAAAATTCAGATGGAAAAATTGCTTACCATAAACTGCCTCTTATAAGCCCTGGCTTATACATCTCCATAAGGGGTTTAAGGAGGGCTTATAAACAGAGGGGCTCATATCCGAGGGGGCTATACACAAACCTGCAAAGTGCCTGTCTCTTTGTTCAACTGTCATTTTTGGCAACCATTTTAAGATTTGAAAAAATTGAGTTTGGAGGGCTGATAATAATATTGTCAGTTCGGTTACTGTTAGTAAGTAGGTCGTCAGTCCAACGCCAAGTCTAATACAGCAGTGAAATACTCAATTTAGCCATAAAGAAGTAAATTGTATGGTTTAGTATTTGAAGTGCTATTGTTCCTGCTATAAATTGCAAGGCCCATGGCAAGTATTCTGACATAGCCTTATGGGCTGAGTTATCACGTACTTGCATTTGCAAGGAATTTAATCCATAGTAGGTTGATGTCATTATTGTGATCCTGTCTTAATATGTATGGTTGTTCAGTAAGGTTTAATTAGCACGCACACCATTGTATGTTGCACCTATCTGTCTTAAAATTAACTTATGTTTGTGGTCCTGCGTTATTTAGGATAAATCTTTTATATTTTTTTAAGGAAATCATTATAAACATCTATAAAAGTTATTATTTTTAAGGTACAAGGTGCTTTTTTGGTATGACTCGGTATTACTTGCCTGAGTGTCCATTTGGTATAAGAAGTTGAGCGTGTTTAAAAACTGGTGTTACTAGAATGTGGAACAGTTTTTTAAAGACTTCCCCAAGGCTTCCAGCTATAGTTTTCCCAGACCTTCTAGCATGTCTACCATTTGAGCACCCAGTACCTTAAACGATACTGTTATTGCCCAACGTTTCCTTTATTAATCTTCTATTAATCTATTATTTATCCAAGCATTGATATCTGAGTGATTTCTACTATTTTGTAGTGGTAGTAAATTACTGTATTTAATTAAATTTCACTACCAGACAGTTAGTATTATTAATGTTCACTTTGACTGTTTCAGAAATGTCAAGAAAGTTGTTTGAGTCATAAAGTTTTCTTAAGGCAATTTCTGAAGTTTCAAATCAATTGTATTACCTTACTAGTTACAATCCAGGGTAGAGTTATCTGATGTCTGCCCATATCATTTTATAGTTAAAATTTCATCAGTATCTTGTTTTCTCTATCCCTGGGTGGTACATTTCTCACCTTGTGGAGAGTAGGAACATCTGTAGTTGTATATCTTTTGAATATAATTTATATATTCTGGTGCTGATTCACTGACATTTTTTTTTTAAAACAAACCATCTTATGAAATTTAAAGTAGATGGGGTTTCAAATCCGAGGATAGAAAACTTATTAGCATACACAAGCTTTTAATTCCTACATGGAACAAAATTATCTTCATCAAGTGAGGGAATTTGAAAACTTGTGCATGATTACTTTTGTAAAAGTGTTTTTAGGAGAGCTCCATGCACGCATCAGGTGCGTGAGTGGAGCCCCATAACTAAGAAAATTTGGTTATCTATCCATCCGAGAAATTGTAGTGGTTACGTGACGGTACTTCCATCCGTCCACCCATCTGTCCCCACCACTGGGCAACCAATGTGAAATCTCACACTTTCTAGCTAGTGTGGGAGCCTGCAACGTGATATCCATGTCATTGTCAATTGGCAGTTGTCAAAACAGGATATCAGCTGACCAACATCACATGACTGTATCACAGGCTCAGGTGTCGATCCATCAAAATTGCGTGTTTCTTAAAGAATTCCGCTGACAAGTTACTAGTTTTTAACTGATTGCAGGGTCAACTTGAAGTGGATTTCTTTGCAATGGTTAAAAACAAGATTTTTAGTTTATTGTTTGAAGCTAATTTTTGAGGGAGCTTTGCCTTGGCTAAATCTATAATTATATTATCCTGGGATTTGAAACCTTGTCTACTTTAAATATCATTATGACAGGATCAAGTTACTCTTTTTGCTGACAGTTTATGAATGATTCAGAGGCAATGAGCCAGTTTATTAGTGTTGTAACCCTTCTGTTGAGACCATCTTTAAGTGTTACAATAATCATTGTGACTATGGTAGTTGAGGGACATCTGAAATGAATGTGTTGATCTAAATCCAACATATTTTCATAGCAAGTACATGAATGATGGTTCTATCCCCAAGTGAATCACCACTGCCTTATCAACTGGTGTGAATTTTATTTTTTAATTCCAATTAACTGGCAGAAGGAACCTCAAAGGTCTTTTCTTCTACTTTGAATTGTACTTGTAACTACTAAAGACAATGGCAGTTACACCACAGGACAGAGTGTCAGTAATTAATTTATAAGAGGTGATTGACATGAAGGGCACTGCTCCAGGGTCTGTGACAGTTATACAATAACAAGTTGTCTGTAATGATTGGAGGGTTATTCTAAATAAAAATTAAAAAAGTTATTTTCTCTTTGTGTTGTCTACATTGCATTTGCAACAGAAACATATAACCCCTGCTTCTGATTTGCAATCAAAAGGGTGCATGGTATTGGGCTCTACTTGTCTCCTTAACAAATTCCACCTTTCTACTTTTAACCAGATACTGTAAACTTCTGTTTTCAAGCCCTAGGACGTTCGTTACAACATCATGAGGGGTTTTAGGTAGGCTTATAAGCGGCAGGAGAACGTGGGGAGGGGGGAGCTTATAACTGGGCTACAAAAGCATTTAAAAACAAGTGACAAAGCAGTGCTGATCAAAATACTTTTTGAAGTAATATATCAAAACAACACAAAAAATTGAATGCATGTCAATACAAGCTAGAGGGAGGCCTATATCCCAGGTGGGGGGGGGGGGGGGGGGGGGGGGGAGAAGATGATCTTTTTTTTTTTTATGGGGTGTGTGGGTCGATTCGGGGGGGGGGTAGATGGGGGATCTTGGGGTAATCATAAAAATTGAGCACAACACTCTACCTGTACGTGCTGGGCTGTCTAACTCTGTTCTTTAATGGAAGGAGAGAGGAAAAAAAAAGAAAAAAACAAACAAAAAAAAAAAAACAAAAAAAGATAATAACAAAAAAAAAAATAAAAAAGAAAAAAAAAGAAAAAAAAAAAAAAAAAAAAAAAAAAAGGAGGGTGGGAGGGGGGGGGGGGGGGTGGGGGTGGGGGGGGGGGGGGGGGGGGGGGGGGGGGGGGGGGTGGTATAATCAGATCTCTTTTTTTGTTTACGAGTTGATGGGTCTATAACCGGTGGGGGTATAAGTGGAAGTTCACGGTTTACAAGAACAACTGGAATTACAACCTCGCAGTTGATCAGAGGTCATTCAAGCATTAATCCAGATACAACTATGACTTAAGCTTTGTTATGAAAAGCTCTTGTAGCTGACACTCCCGTAAGCCGTATGGTGATGTGTGTTCTTCGGTCAGCAGCTTTAATACGGCTTTTGAAAGGTGTGGTAGGGGAGGTCACTGCATCATGCCTCAAAAAATTATCTGGCCCCGCTTGTTCAGTCAGAATGCTATTATCTGGGTAAGTCTTTATCCAACGAATAACTTTTTAGAGAACCCACCGGGCTGGGACCTGAAATTGTGCTTTCATATTTACACGCACACTTTTCAATGCTTTTTAACACCGGGTTGTTCAAAGCTGGGTTAAGATAACCCAGGGTTAGTGTGAAATTTGAATTCAGACAGGAAAGCTTGTAACGTAAATTCAGTTTAATAATTAAACTGAATTTTTTTTTATAAGCTTTTTTTTAAGAATTATTCTTTTTGTCAACAAGTTGATGATTGGATGCTCTTAGAAATAACAGCGAAAATTATCCTAGAAAATGCTTTTGAACAAAAGAAAAAGAAATCCGGGTTTAATTTAACCCTGGGTTAAGCGCTTATCGGCCTTCCAACAACTGATCCCTGGCTCCATTGGCTCTATTGGCTCTTTCGGAGATTTCTTTCGGGGCAAACTGTTCGTGCCTTCCCATAATGCTCTTTGCAACGTAAACAAAGATGGCGGCCTGTTTCAAATGTGCGGTTGTCTTCATTTCGTAAAGTTTTTGTGCAAAGAAGAGAATGTCACAGGATGAAGGTGTTATTTCTACCAACGACGATGCAAGTGCTTGCAAGAGGTATAAAATTACTGAAAATAGCGCTTTCAAGTCCGCCCAACAAACAAATCTAGTTTAGTGATTCACGTTCAATTATTATCTTTCATTTGGTGGTCCATGTTTTATACCCACTCTATAGTTTAAAGTCTGTGCTGTATATACAGTCTACGTCTTATACCCAGACCAGAGACGGTAGTCCGCAGTCCTTAGTCTGTATTTTATTACCGCCGGGCCTCTGATGAGATGTGACAATGGGACAAGAGAACATAACAAGAAGGCAAGAGGCTGGGCGTCCAAATAGAGAAGACAACAGGACAAGTAGGCATTCCATGATAAAACAAATCAGCAAGACAAAATAAGAAGTAGACATGATGAAATAACAAGTAGACAAGATGACTTCACAAGTAGACAAGTCAACATATAAAATAGACATTGAGTTATTTTTTACCACTCTATATTATCTTCAGTATCTGGTGATTTTTTCCCTGTAGCTTTCAGTTGAGCCATTAAAAACTGCTCAGATCTGAGTATGTTGCTTCAACAGACACAAAAGGGTGGTGTTGTATGTGGTTGCTCTTCACCTCTTTGCAACCTTGGTCCTTCTCTGTTTGTTTCTGTCTCTGTGACAAATTCATTGCAAAAATTCTGGCCGTTCAGGAACACTGAACTCAAATGCCTTTGAAACTGTATTTGGTAAGATTAGGTGCCTGGGTAATAGCCATTTTTCTTATAAACTTTTCAACGACTTTGCTAGTAAATATTGTAGGGCAATGTGAACTTGTGGGTACCCCTCTGAGTATGTCGGGTAACATGGAATAATAACCATGTGGGAAGTAGTTAAAATGAGACTGTATCTGGTAGCAGATTAAAGATGTGTTGGTCATTTAACACCACGTTTTAACTGAGGATTGTGGCGTTACACTGGTGGCAGCAGAAAACAAAGACAAACTTCACGGATATCTGGGTTCAGTGGTGATATATCTTTGTTTGTGTGACTGAACTTTACTGTTTTGCATTATTTTTCATTCAAAGTCTATTCCTGATTTTGCTACCGTGGTTTCGCCCATTTGCTTTGGTGGAAAACTCACCTGTGGATTCAGGATTCAAAGAAATAAGTTGTTTGACGTCAGTTAATCCTTTAAAACCAGGGAACCGGTTTACAATAGAGTCTGTTTCATCCGTAGACTCATCAGTGAATATGGAAAGTCCAAGTCAGTGCTTTCAATCAGCAAACCCGTTTGCATCGCGACTAGATCCATCAGTAAATAGTAGCAGTGCGAGACACCTATTTCACTCCACAAACCCGTTGCATGAGAGTGTCAACAGGATGCTAAGTATCAAATCAGTAGAATAACTTTATAAGTCTTATTCCACTGATTTGTTTACACACTGCCAAAAGTTTAACAAGCCTATTAAAAATCCTGTGGGTTATTATGGTACTCAGTCGTTGAGTGTTGCTCTGTTGTTAGTTGTTGGAGCCGAGAAGAAGCTGCTTCCTTTCTTGCACTGCAGGCCTTCGAGAGAAGCACAAAAGGTACTTAATGGTATGTCTGGTAGCGATTGTCGAAATTACACCAAAATTGTTGACAAATTGGAGCTTTGGTTTGGTGTTGAAAAACAGCGTGAGTCACACCAAGCGTGTCTTTCTAATCGTCGCCAATAAGAAAATGGGAGATTTCAAGCTCTTGCTGCAGATATTCGGTCTATGTCCAGTTTAGCTTATCAGGATTTATCGCTGGATACACAGAAAGATTTGCCATCCAGCACTTTTTTGATGCACTCAAGGATCAAGCTTAAATTACATAGAGATAAACCACGCATCCTAGAGGTGTTTCATCTGTTGGATGGAGATGGGCAAAGAACTTCTCTGAAGGTCTTCTCTGTACATGAAGTTGATAAAGAACCTGATTTGTTTAAAGCCCAGTTGGACATGGTACACTCTAACATTCAAGTGCAACAACAGCGTCAGGAGATTCAGCAAGTTTTCCTACAACAGTTAGTTGAGCAGACCCAGTAGCTCTCCCAGTCATTATCTCTAAACACCTCTGGTAGCCAACAACGCCAACTTCCTTCACATTACTCCAACAGAAACAGTCCATGCTGGAATTGCAAAGAACTTTGTCACTACCGTTGTAACTGCCCAAAGCACTTGTAAGTCACTTGACCGAGCCAACCTGGTCGGGACTTGGGAAATTCCACCATGGTGTCCCCCATGGGCCAGGGGGATGCCTAAATGCGAGTGATGTTGGCTCCACAACTAATAATGATGTGAACAATGCTTTCTCTCTGCCAATGTCAAAGCAGGAAATGACATGTCCTGATACTCCCATGGAACGGTCACATATTAATGAAAAATTATGAGGCCTTTATTTGCCAGGCTTTCTTGGAGGATCTCGTGTTAAGTGGTTAATAGACACTGGTGCTGCTCATTCTGTTTTGTCATTCAGGGTTTATAATTCTTTACCTACCAGTGTTAAGTTCAGTTTGAGTTCAGGAAATTCTGCCATTGCTCTTGCTGATGGTCAACAAGGGAAAAGTGGTGTGGTTCATGTTGTACTGTGCCCGGGTACGGTAACAGCGAGTTTCAAATGCATGTAATTGTTGGTGAAGTTGAGGATGAGGGCATTTTGGGTATGGAGTTCCTCTCACAAGTTGATTCACGTATTGACAATTGTGAAAAATCAAGTGTCCATTAATGGTGATGTGTTTGATTGTTCTGATTTCAAGAACCAACTCCTTAGTTTGAGATGTATGGTTCTACAGTCAACTGTGATTGAACCTAACCCTGAGGGGATTGTTCCAGTAATCGTTCAGAAGCGTTCATGTAACTTACATCCAAAGTTATTTCAATTAGGTATGCGATTTTTAGAACTGTGCCTAAACTCCACGTGCAACAAAAGGGACTTTATGTTGCAAGGATTCTGGTTGATATTAAGGAGGACAGAGTTGTCAATTTACGTGTTTTCAGTGTTTCTAATGAAGTGTTTCACTTGGCTGGTGAGACTGTGATCTCCCTACCTAAGCCAGTTATTGATGTCACCTCACTAGAGCTTAATGAAGAGGACCAGGAGAGTGCTAGAGTAATAAATGAGCATGTGTCACAAGGAGCAGTTGATATGACTCTACTGGAGGCCTTGCAAGAATTCCTTGAGAGAAACACTTATTCCTTAAATGGCAGTAAAACTGAGAGACTGCTGGAGTTGCTGTTCAATTACAAGCATATGTTCTCAATTTCAGATGGGGACTTAGGCACCACACACATGGTCCAGTACAGAATCGAAATGGGCAATGCACTTCCAATCCGAATACAACCCTGGCAAAATTCACTATGTAAACATGATGAGATAGAATGACAAGTCACCAACCTCATACAGCAAGGAAAGGTGAAAGAATCATCCAGCCCCTGGTCTTTTACGGTTGTGCTAGCAACCAAAAAGGACAGTAGCCAGAGGCTCTGCATGGACAATTGCCAGCTAAATGCAGTGATGGTAAAGGATGCCTTCCCCTTGCCGCGATTTGGTGATTCTCTTGCTGCTTTCAGTGGCTCACGATGGTTCTCAACCTTTGATCTTGCTTCTGGTTACTGGCAAGTGGCAATGGATGTCAACACCCAGGGAAAGGCAGCATTAGTAACTTCAAGCAGCTTGTGTGAATGGACCATGATGCCTTTCAGCCTCTGCAATGCACCCAGTACCTTTGCTATATTGATGGAACTTGTTTTGAAGGGCCTACATTGGAAGATTTGCTTGATCTATCTTGATGATGTTATTGTTATGGGGTGCACATTTGAAGAAGAATTAAAGCAGTTGAAAGAGATGTTTGAGCGACTAGCCGGGGCAGGACTACAGCTTAAGCCAAAGAAGTGTTTTCTCTTCCAGAAACGGGTTTCGTACCTTGGACATGTGGTCACAGAGGAAGGTATTGCTGCCGAACCTGAAAAGGTGGGGCAAGTTTGCACCTGGGCCATCACAGAGATCAAAAGTTTCCTTGGACTTGCCTCTTATTACCACCGATTCGTCCCTGTTTTCTCAACCATAGCTAAGCTGCTGTATGAGCTAACAGAAGCCAAGATGGAATTTGTTTAAACAGAGCAATGTCAGTTAGCTTTTGACAGCCTGAAGGGTTTACTTATGTTGAGCCCTGGCCTACCCAACCAGGGAGAGAAAGTTTGTGTTAGCCACCGACACATCAGACCATCAAATTGGGGCAGTGCTATCAGTTTCAGGACCAGATGGAAAAGCCCTTTGTGTTTGCAAGTTGGACATTGTCCAAATCTGAAAGGAGCTATTATGTGACCCGTTGTGAGCTTTGTCAAGCAACACTGGTATTACCTGCAATGTACAAGATTCTGCATTTGAACTGATTGTACCCTTTACCCTTTGTTGTCCAGGCCAAAGACCGCGGGTTTAAAGTCACAGAAATGCGTGTCTCTGGTTGATGTGGGTATTTAGACTGTGATGCGTGCCCCTAACCAGCACAATGAACAACCTGTGAATTGTGAAGGACCTGTTGGTGATCGCTGTGCCACTGTCATGTTGGAACTAACCTGGACCTCCACCTTCTTGAGGGAACAGCACGAAGCAGATTCTGATCTCAAAGCTTGCATGTTGGATTGAATTCTCTAGTACTGAGTGAGTGAGTGAGTGAGTGAGTGAAAACTTTATTTACCCACAGTAAATTTATCAAATAACTTTTCATAAAGCATCTGTTCTACCTAAAAGCCGTGCGTTATTTAACTTACATAAAGATATAGATATATATCTAAAAACTAAACTAAGAAAGATCGTACACACTGTTAAACCTAATGATAAAAAACTTAAATTATGAGGCTTGTGTAGATAGCAAATACGACCTGATCTTAGCCTTAAATTGTTTTAAAGAAGTCTCTTCCTTTAAACTGGAAGGAAGAGAATTTCCAGAACTTAGCACCTGCAGTAGCAAAACTATTCCTAAAATAGTTTGTTCTTGCTTTTGGCACTATTAAATTCATTCCAGAAGAGCGAAGGTCATAACTGAGCCGGCTTGTATTAACATCAAACGTCAAACTTTCAACTTCAAGGTAGTATCGACCAGGACATTGACATCTGAATGCTGATGCACTTTCCCATAGACCCTGTGATATCCGTTGTTAGTGGTGTAAGGGTTGTAAGTCACAGGAACGAGTGTCTCTTGTTGATGTGGGTGTTCAGACTGTGATTCATGTCCCTAACCGGGACAATGAACTACCTGTGAATTGTGAAGGATCTGTTGGTCATCGCTGTGCCACTGTCAAGTTGGAACCAACCTGGACTTCCACCTTCTTGAGGGAACAGCGGGAAGCAGATTCTGATCTCAAAGTCATTAATCATTGGAAGGAAGTCAGCAAAGAGAAACTGTTGTGGGAAGATGTGTCGCCTCAGAGTTGTGCTGTGAAGACTTTGTGGTCACAGTGGAAGTGCCTGTTTACCCAAAACATTGTGCTTTGTCACAAATGGGAAAGTGGCTGAGGAGAACAGACATTTGACCTGCTTATTCTTCTCGAAAGCTTCTGACAGACTGCTTTTGAATCTCATCATACAGCTGTAGTCTTACGACTGCAAGCCATTGTTGTCTTACTGGCCAGGACTTACTTCAGCAGTTCACATATTGGTCACCAGGTTCCAGCCTGGGGAAGAAAGCATCATGCTCCTTTAAAGCAGTACATGGTAGGACCTCCCATGGAACGAATCACGATTGACATTCTTGGCCCACTGCCAGAAACCTGTGAAAGAACAAATTTATACTGGTGGTTAGTGACTATTATCTACTTAAAGTTACCCAATACCAAACCAGGAGGCCACTACTTTTGCTGAGAAGCTAGGGAGCAAGTTCATTTGTCGTTTCTGTGTACCTCGTCAACTTCATAGCAACCAAGGAACTAACTTTGAGTCAAAGGTGTTTGTTGAAGTCTGCAGACTTAAAGACTTTGAGAAGACTCACACCACTCCACTGCATCCCCACTCTGACGGATAGGGACCCTGGGGCCTCCACTGGAGAGATGGATTCCGAAAAGGCAGATGCAGCTACCAAGCCCAAGAGAAGAGGGGAGAGAGACATCAGAAGTGGGTTTATCAGTTTTTGTCGACGACAGACAGTCAGCTCCAGTTAAGGAGGGAGAGGGAGGTGAGCATGACGAAACAGAATCTATGGAAGGAGTCAAGGATGATGTTTTCCCGAAACTTCTGAATGCTGATCGCACTGGGGATGATAACAGTGACAAGCCTGAGGATGTGAGGGAACCTGAACCTTGTGCAGAATTGACAACTTTTGTTGTGGATGCCCATAACTAGGAGGGTGTCGGCTGTCAAACAGCTGAGTCGACTGTACAAGGTTTACCAGGGAATGATTCCAGTGTTTGTAGGAGACCTTGTAGTCGACATGGAAAGTGGGTGACTGATAAACCTGAAGTGTTCAGGGACTGATAAGCATTATAGGACAGTCTAGGCAACTAGACAAGTACAAGTTAATGCCATTCATTTCCTAAGAATATTTCACATTTGGAATGTAATGAACAGTCATTAGAGACTCTTAGTCCGTTGTGTTGAATTGATGTTGTTGTGAATCAGTCAGAAGTGATTTGTAAAATAGTGGACCAGCACTGGGACAGTGCTTTAACAAGGGAGGAGTAGTGTAGCGCTAGGCAAACCCGAGGGTATACCCCCTCTGAGTACATCACGTGACATAGCATAATAACCATGTCGGAAGTAGTTAAAATTAGACTGTATCTGGTAGCAGATTAAAGATGTGTTGTTGTTTATTTAATGCTGTGTTTTAACTGAGGATTGTGGCATTACAATATACCATCTGAACTTGGTGCCCCTGGGCTTCTAACAATGGACCCCTCGGGATGATGCATTTATTTAACCAGCTTACAAGGAGAAACTGGTTTGTTATCTTACTTCTGGCATTGGCTGGTATTTCTCTATGAAGTAAGTGATATTCTAGGTTGAAGTGAAGCCCTTGATTTTCCTAGGGTTTATCTTCGAATTAGAAGTTCTTCATATGTTTGTCTTAGTGGAGGTTGGTTCTTTATCAGTTGCCAGTTTACTGATGGTTGCTGCAGTGTGTATGTAGTGTGCCCTTTGTTTGCAAAGTCAAGGTCGCAGGTATCACTGGGTATTATCTAAGAGGCCTGACCACCTGAGGACCCTATGCTAAGGTTTGTCACACATTCCACTCGGTAAAGTCTCTGTTTCAAAGTCCTGTCATGCAGACCAATTTGGACTTAAAGAAACCAGGAACCAAATTAGAAAAATCTAAAGCTACATCAGATGCAAAATCCTTCAAAACTGCTGTTATTAATTTTTATTGAAAACCAACTGCAAACCACAAAAGATACCAAAACCTTAAATCCCAAGTTTTTGAGTGCAAAGACTGCAAATTAATCTGACCAAAAAAAAAAAAAAAAACTGTGAAAACAAAAATTCTAACTTCACCTTTTAGGCTATGATCTATTATCTTAGTCTGCAGAGGAAGTGGAGACCAACTTGCATCCATTCCAGGGCTCATTCATTTTATTGGATTCAACAAATCATTTATTCTGACCTTGTTTGTTTCTTTTAGGTTTGCTGTTCAGCTAGGTTACTGGTCAGACAATTACATTCAGCACTTCACAAGGCTTGGAGAGAGAAAGACTCCAGAAATCAATAGAGGTAATGCTCTATATCTTACATGATTTTCTATGTTGGTGAGCAAGGATGGTGCAGTTGTGAGAGCACCCACCAGTGTGACCCGGGTTCAAATCCTGGTGTCAACAACATACGTGGGTTGAGTTTGTTGTTGGTTCTCTCTCCCTTACTCCAAGAGGTTTTTCTCTGGGTACTCTGGTTTTCCCCTCACCTTTAAAACCACCCTTTCCATATTCCAATTTGATCTGGAATGCACAGACACATTTCAAGGAGGTATTAAGAACTCCTTAGTGCTCCATGGGCACGTGCTCTGGGTTCAGTGATGGTATTTTTTTATTGGGATGGGACCCCAACCTGGAGGGCCAGGCATTGCAGTTTGTCTGGCCTTTCACCTAAGACCTGCCCAGCATGGCTGAACCCACCAGGCACTAGGGTCCCAACTGATACATCTTCCAGGGTTAATCAAGACACATAAAGTTAAGGCACAATAATCATGTTTATAAAAATTTTTTTTAGGTTATTATGCTCGTGTTAAAGGAATGCGAACTCTTTTGGACCAATTTCTCACACAGACGCACTGTAAATGTCAGGTTATCAATCTTGGTGCAGGATTTGATTCCCTTTTTTGGCTGTTAAAGGTAATGCAAATGTCTACACGTGAAAGCACAGGTGTCCCAAGCTCATGGTAAGAGGGTAGATACGAGTGAGTGGGTGACGCGTTACATGGAATCATTGAGGTGTTGTATGAGAAATAAAATACTCCTGAGATCTGCGAACAAGGTAAAATACTATGATATTTAAAGAATAAAGAAGTTTTATCTTTGATTTATTTCTGCGTGTTTTGGTTTGAATTCATCAATTTAGTTGGCTTTTTGGCTCCATTGCTTTATCCCTGTAACTCTGAATGACTGATAGGGGTAACATAATAGAGCTAAAAAGTTTACTAAATTGATGAATTCATACTGAAACACACAGAAATACATCAAAAATAAAATTCATCATCGTTTGCAGATCTTAGTATTTTATTTCTCATACAACGTCTTAATGATCGCTTGTGACTTATGCTGTACTAACTCTCTAGCGTCCACCCTTGTAACGTGAGCTTGGGGTGCCTGTGGTGAAAGGCGAAGTAGCCTGCATAGAAGAGGCATAATTCTAAGTTGTTTTGTTTTTATTTCAAGTAAAGGAGGATGGCTTATTGCCTAAGCTATTTGTGGAGATAGATTTTGGAAATGTAACCAGCAGAAAGTGTTACAGCATAAGGCAAGTTATCTTTTATCCTTTTACATTAAATAACAATTTATTAATTTTATTCACAGTGTTTTCAATAGGCAACATAATGATTCCTGTGTGTCAATCCTAAGAGTTATATCATTGGATGCAAATTTTTTCTTCGTTTTCATTGGCTGAGAGCCCACCACATGACCTCTAAAGAACTGTCTACAAATAATGGTCTGCTCATGCGCAATGTCGTCCAACTGTGTTTGGCTGCAAATAACATTCTGCTCATGCCTTAATGAAGCAACACTTTTCTCCTTCTTGCCATTGCTCTTGCATGAAAATGGCAGACCGCTTCACTTCCCAAAGATTTCGTTAAAGTCCAACTTGGTGATCGAATAATAAAACAATAATAATTATTGAACAATAATATTATTGTTCAATAATTATTATTGAACTTGGTTATAATGACAAAAATTAATATTGTATTGTGATTGATCTGCTTGCCACTGACAAATCACAATATTTCGCTAAACCTCATCCAGTAATAGTTAATCATCTGTAAAAAATATAAGCACAATTTAATGATGTACTTTTTGCTTCTTTTATTCTGTTTTTGTTCTTAGGATCAGTTTCAAGTTTATACTGATGCAGGTTTTGAAGCCCAGATCCTGTGTGCTACATTAATTTCAACTTGTTGCTGGGGTTGCACATTCTGTTTCTGTGTACTGTGTAAGCCTTTTTCTTCTCTGTCTTTAGGGCAAGGAGAAAGCTTCAGGAAGTCTTTTCTCAAGATGATGGATTGAAAATTGGTTAGTTTTCATATATTGAAAAAGATAAACTATTAACTAAGAAAAGCCATGAAGACTGCATACAAGTTTTACCTCATGATAATAAAAGTTAGGTTCAGCAAATGAAACAAGCAAAATGGATAAAACAGTCAAAGGACTTGATTCAATGAATAATTTATGAAAATAAACTGACCAATTTTTCATGGTTTTAAAATCTACTAGTACTTATTGTTTTGATGATGAAATGTGAAGTTTTGATTTGCTGCCATTTGCCATCTAACCCTGCAACTTTCTGGAGCCATTAAGTTCTAATGAGTTGAACAAAATCCATTCAAATTAAACGTCTTAACAGAAGCCTGTTAACTTCTATAGCACTGTTTGCTTTTAAAAAGGCCATTTGCATAATGGCGTCATTTTACTACTGTGACCAGAATCCTTTCTGTTTTTCCTTTCATATTTAATTTAGTAATCCCGATAAGGTTTAAATGAAAAAAGCCTTCATTCGGACAACCCTGCTCTCAAAGGACTTTGATCCTAGTTATTAAAATGATGTCATTGCGCCGATAGCCTATTGGACCACAACTATTTTTTTACAACTTCAAAAATGAAGATTGTCTTGACTTTTGCATCCTTAAAGAAACAAATTATCATTAAATCAATATTATTTGCTTTATTGCAGAAGGAAATGAAGCTCACTCTAAAAATTATCACCTACTGGCTGCTGATCTGAGAGATATAAGTATACTTGAAAGCAAATTGAATGAAATTGGGATTGATAAAAGGTCAGTGGACCTGGGGGTTCAGCTGCAAATTATTTATAATTGCATGTGCAGGGCTCAAAATAATGGCTGGTCAATGGATAATGTCCGGCCTGAAAGGCAACTTGATTGGCCAGGAACTTCACTTGCCGGTTATGTCGACCGGTCACAGACACTCTCATTCTTGAACAAACAGCCAATTCCTAACCTGTAAATCATAGATTTTATCTCAGTTATCATGTTCACAAATAGAATATTACACAAAGTTCAGTTGACTTTTTTACCCATATGTTTGACCGGTCAGAAGGGGAATTGTCTTGATTGAGCAAAAATTTCATTGCCTGGTATTTGTGTTGCTTGTGTGCAAAAGGAGATGTCTGGAAGCACGCAAGTATTGCGTCCTGCTACCATCCAAAAATTATTTTGAGCCCTGATGTGTATGGAAAAATTTTTGTAGTTGGCAAAGGGACTGGATGATCATTGTTTTTTGCACCTTTTCACCTTGTTTATGTCTTGCCATTACTGTATTTTCTCATGCAGTCTTCAAGTTGCCCAATGGACGCAGCAAGTTTGGTACTATTATAAAGAAAAAATAATCAAACTTACATGTAATGTTGGCCCAGTAATTCCCAGCAATAGGTAGTGTTAAGTTTTCCTCATTTCTAAGTGGCTTGCACTAATGTTAGAAGTTCAAAATCTAAGTTAACTCGCCATTTGGCAAGTTGACTTTTAATTATTCTCATCCTGCCAGTAGTCCTACATTATAAAATATGATGGATTGATCAAGTTTACCCTGTCCCCCCTTAGTTAATTGATTTACAAAAATGTTGTTAGTGATTTAAGAAATGTGATTTTCAAATAAACACTTCCCTTGAATAATGACCATCCTTGAAATATTCTGCATCAGAAACGCTAAAACTTTGATAAACAATGTGGTGTTTAATCGAATAAATATGGTATGTAACCTACATGATTATGAAGTCTTATAATTTGTGTTTCAGCCTACCAACAGTGTTCATCACTGAGTGTGTGTTGGTTTACATGGAGCCTGAACATTCAGCTGCCATAATTAATTGGGCAGGAGCAACTTTCAAAACTGCTCTTTTTATTAATTACGAACAGGTAAAAAGGTCATATTCTTAACTTCTAGTGTCTTAAAAACTCACTTGTCTTTTAGCCAGTTACTATATCTGGATCTGTAAAAAGAGGAAATCAGGACCAAATCTAGTGGGTTTTTTAAAACAACTAAAACTTTTTAATGAAATAGAATCCAAAGCAACCCTTGATCTACCAAAAAAGTGGGACCTCCTGATAAATATTCTTCAAATACCTTTTTCTAACTTACTGCAATCTTAAAATTCATGAAAAAACCAACTCTCTTACCCCTGACACTTGCAGCTAATTCCTTCAGTTTAAATCGATTTTTTCCAGTCTATGTTGAATGTAATATTACTAGTTAGTCAATAATGCTTAAAGTATGTTACTCCGCTTTTTGTAGATGTACTTTGATTGATTATGTATATTACTTTTTTTGTACTATGCACTATTTTTTTCTTTTATTTATTTATTTGTTTTTTTTTTTTGTGTTCCATCTAATAAATTGTTAAAATAATAAAATAAACAAAAACTTCTAGCGTCAGAATAGTATTCAAGACATGTTTGTGTAATATGTAGTCTTTTTCAAAGATTATTTTTTCTGCTGTGGAAATATGATGAGCAAATAATGAAAAAATAATATGCACTGAGAGCAAAGAGTTCCTGGAAATCTCAAACAACTAAGCAAGATGTTTAGGTAATTTCAATATAATTTTTGTTTTTCAAGACCTCTTCCTGTTATTCCATCTTTTTTCATTATTTACCTCTGTAACAAAAAGTTTTAATTGTGCTTTGACCAGTCTATAAACAAAACTCAGTGGTGTGATTATTCAAACAGAACCCCTCTTCAGCATTTCATTTAACCAGTGCTCTTTTTACAAGCCACCTTGATAATGAAGTAGTCCTTGATAAAGAACTGGTAGTTATTTTTTTTGTTTTCTTTGTTTGTTGTGAAAATTGAGAAAAAAGTGAAGAACAGCTCCCCCAAAAAAATTTCAGCCGACAGTTGACCAAATTGAGGTCATTTTATTGAGAAGTGAGGAGTATAAAGTCTTCAATAAACTAACACTGAGTTTCACTGAAATTAAATAATTTATTTGTTCATTACTTCTTTTCTTTGGTTCTTTTTTTAACTTCTACCTGTTTAAAATGGAAATGTATTATTGCCTTTATATACAATTTTAAATAACAAGCCCATTGAAACGTTTTGCCAATGTCAAGTTTTATTTTTCAATCTAGGTTTTCTAATCTACACAATAGCATTAAGTTTGAGGTTTCCCACTTTAACCTAGAGGTGGGCAGGAATTCATTAAGATATAGGGGAGCTAAATAATAATAATAATGGAATTTATATAGCGCTTATACATTGCTGTTCTAAGCGCTTTGTTCTGGAACTCCATTCCAGACAATTTAAAAAGAGCACTAAGTCTAAACATTTTTGAAAAAGCAGCTTCTTAAGAAAAACAGACCCTTGTTCGACAATATAAATTTCAACAAGATCAAATAGTATTTTAATTGTTCTTAACTTTTAGTCTTTTATCTTACCACTGTATATTTATTCTTTTTATATACATATTTTCTGTACATTTTTTTGTATTTTACTTGTATATCATCAATAGATAGTTTATCAGCAGGTCCACATCAGCTTTAGCTGTCTTTTAACTTAACCTGCTTTACCAAATAAACTATGAATGAATGAATGAATGAATGAATGAATAATAGTTTCTGTTTCTTTACAGGTGAATATGCAGGACAGATTTGGTCAAGTTATGATCCAGAATCTCAGAGTATGTATCATGTCAGTGAGGATAGTGTGAGATGCATTGGATGATACGATGCATTCAGTCTTCACTCATTTGCACCTTTGCATTATAACTGGGAATGGCCAGATGCCATGTCCTTCGTGTCACCTTATATGCTAGTTATTTTGTGTTCTGTTAAGTTTTTGTAATTATTTTGGCTGGTTAGCCATAGTCAAAAACACATCCGTGTTTCGTGAAGGAAATAATTAAATGTTTTGTGGAGGAATTTGTTCTTAAACTTAAGATGTAAAACATTAATGTGGGTAATCACACTTTGTTATCTTCATGTCTGTTGAAACTGTTCCATACTTGATATTTGTATGATAACGACGCCTATAGCCTATGATGTTAACGTTTCCCAGGGAATGTAGCCAGACTGTTTTGCATAAAGTGGGTTAATTTATACTTTTTATACTACTTTTGGTAGAAAAGCAAGACAAAAAGGGATCCTTCCACTTCTAAAAATCCTAGGTGTCCATGCTCTCAACCATAAGCTAAACTTATATGCGTCATTGCAGGGTAGAAATTGTGAACTTCTTGGTGCATTTGCTTGTCCAGATCTTGAATCACATGTGAGTAACTAGATCCAAACTTCACAATCTAGCTATTAGATTATCCAATAAACAAAATACACATTACATTTGCATATATTTAACAATTATTCCACGAGTGCACGTTGGATATGAGATGGTAGAATCATCTCATATCCAACAAGCGCGAGTGGAGTAATTGTTTTATTAAAAGCGCCTACAAAATATCGAGAATTCTTCCCGACTTTAGTTATAAAAACAACTGATTTTCAGCTTGTTTTTAATTTTGAGCAGACGCGTACAGTTACCATATTTGGAGAGCATGGTATAATGGCTCATATACTATGATGGCTAAGCCAATCAGAGCTCTAGAATTCCATTATCCAATGATTCAGTTTTTAATAAAATATAATAAAACAATGCTTGAGTGTCAATATACTTAGCACGAAAGTGCTAATTGGGGTCACTATTTTAATCTCCCACTGCAGTCCCTGCCATTTTATGTTGTCATTCGAACCGTGCGGTTCTCTAACCTTCTGCAGGGCAAAAGCGGTACCTTCATTTCGCCGTTTTTTAAAGACCCTGAGTCCGGCCCCGGGAATCAAACCCACCACATTCCACTCTTAAGTCAAGCGTCCTACCGACTGAGCTAATCCTGTCGTGGTTTAAGTCTTAAGTCAGATCTGGATTTTATACACAGTATTTTGGACACTTCATCTGATCCCAAAGATCCCAAACTTTATACAATTCATACACACCCCTATACCAGGCAGACACTTGGCTCTGTCGCTTTAGTGCAACCATGGACGTTAATTTTCCGATAAGTTTTTTTCGTTCTTTCTCCACTCAACAGAGACAAAGATTCCTGGCAAATAACTGGGAGAGAGCAGAAGTTCTTAACATGATGAATGTCTACAACTGCCTACCTTTTAATGACAGAACAAGGTTTGTCTGTTTGTGAAATCACTTTGCATGAATCTGAATTTTAGTTGATTGTAGTCGTTTGTGGTAGAGGGTAGTTTGAGTGAGATTAAGTCTAAGAAATTTGACCGATAGGCCCCTTCCAACAGTTAAACATTTGTTGAGATGTTGTGAATTTTGGCATCTATTACAGTTGACTTCGTCCACATGCTTTGTAACTATTTTAATTTGTCATGTCAAACATGTTAATTTAGTGATTTAAATTATTTGTAGTGACTGTTAATATAACCCAGTATGATCTTAAGATCTCTCAGAATCTGTCGACATTCTCCTATTCTCCCAATGTTTTGATAGTATGGTGACTAACTGGGTTTAAGGTAACTGTATTGCACCAGCAGTAAAAAGTACCGTAAAATTCCGAAAATAAGCCCCGGGGCTTTTATTTTTCAAAGGTCCTTTTTGAGGGGCATATTTTTCGAGGGGTTTATATTCGGAGGGACTTATCTACGGAGGGAGATTTGCGTTTCAAAATCGATTGAGCTTCCCTTATAGATGGAAGTAAATTTACTGTTTTTGCTTTGTTTCACTTTGTATTTGAGGGCAATTTTCTAAATACAAGCCCCCGGGAGGCTTATATTTGGAGGGTCGATTTAACGGAGGGTTTTTTGCGTTACCGGTTTGGGACGCTTATACAGCTAGTTCGAGAAAGGTTGTCGGAAAAAGTGCACGCGATAATCCCGAAAGGTGTTGTGGGTGGTTTTCAGTTCACTGTTTTTCAAAGAAATTAGTTTCTTACCGTTCTCTGCGGTACCTGCATACAAACGCTCCCGATTTCCTTTCTTTGTTTTTATCCAAGCTGTCGATCAATGTCAGGAACACTGTAATGATCATATCCCATATTACCTTTCGGGGTTGCCTCGTGCACAGTTTTTGCGACAACCTTTCAAGAAATAGCTGTATTTGGAGGGGCTTACACATGGAGGGGCTTATTTTCAGAATTTTGGGGTGTGCAAAAAGGCTTATAAACTGCATTTCGTTACTTTTTTCATCATAAAATTGCCAGCTATGTTAGGGTTCAGTTTCACTTTTCCATTTATTTTTATTTTCAAACAGAATAGAGAGAATCGAATTTCTTGATGAAGTTGACCTTCTACATCAGTTACTTTCTCATTATTGTATCGCTTGGGCAGTGAATGATGCTTCACAGCTTGGTGAGTATTTTTACATTTATTTTTCTTGTTCCCTCTACAATCGCTGATTCTAGCTTTGCGTGGTGATCATGGGAGAAGGAGTTATCACAGTGATCTGATTCGGCTGTCTTTCACCAAAGGAACACCGTGGAATTCCAAGATCGGAATCGGTTAATACTCAAGTTAAACCTCGTTTTTGTTTTAACGTCTTTTTTTTTGCGTTAATTTTCTTCGTTCTTTCTCTTAGTTCTACACTTACAGATTTTTCAAGTGCCATAACCACGTTAAACAAAGTCAACATCTCTTATTAGTAAAATCCAACTAGCATGGTCTATTATCAATGCTGCGTTCTGATTGGTTGAGCTACTACTAGGCTATATGTTATAGCCCACTAGTAGCGAAAGCGCCGGCTTTTTGGCGGCAAAAAAAGGATTAAAGTCTAGCTTTAACCGGCTAAAGTTGTTTTGTCTCGATATTTTTGACCAGCTAGTTGGATTTTACTAAAACAAATATTCCTGTCACCCTCATGGCCTCTGAGTCAATAGGCCGAAATTGTTAATTATCATTGTCATTATCATCGTAATGATTATTATCATTATTATTGATGTTGCTGTTGCTGTTGTTGTTACTTGCTGCTCCGAAAGCGATAAGGAAGTTATATCAGTAATCAAATACAAAAGAATCGCGGTGAATAGTGGCCGCCGGAGTGCAGCCTAGTACGTTACTCTTCTGATCACGAAACACGGTTATAACGACGAAGAGGTTGACGACGAACCTAACTTTCTCGTGCGTTTTTGAACATAAACGTCTTTTTAAAAATGTTCATTACAAGAAAACCTGAAAATACGTTGTGTGTTCTCTAGGTTTATCAAGCATTGCTTTTTGAGAGGAGTTATAAGCTGTAATGAAAATGGCAAAACGTTGAGCCTTGTTCATTCTTGAAGTTTGCTCGCTGCTGAAGTGCTTTGAAACCTTGAAGCCTTAGTACATGAAGCAAAGACATACCAGTCATTGTTCGAGTCAGTACCTGGTGTATGGTTGTGTACATTTCTTATTCCACTGGTTACAACTACCCCTAAATGACTCAAACCGACAGTCTGAATCGTGTGCAATAGAGCAAGTGAGGAGAGCAGTGTGATAAATGAATTGTTGTTATTTAATAGTGAGTAACTTCTAATTTAGCACAAGCTACTATGATTCTTATTATAATTTAACAACGATGACGTGAATTGCTATAGAACAATATTACAATAACATTTCAACATCAAGCCAGGTATGGCATCCCCTTGCACTAGGCAGAACGAATTTAATTGAGAAAACGGAGGCATTTTTAGAACTTGTATGACTTACAGGCTATTCCTTTGCAAAAATAGATTTTATAGTTAAGACTGTCTGAAGAAGATTGTTTTTTGCAAGAGCTATTTTTTGTAATTTATAAAGTAATCAACATGACTTCGTAGGTTACGTCTCCCTTAATTTTGGATTGTACACAGAGTTTAGTCTTATTTGCTAAATAATATATGCCAAAAGGGTTTGTACCCCTCTTAAAAACCGCTCTAAACATATAGGGGCCAGCGGCCCGTATCTCGAAAGTCCCAGTAACTTTTCGGGCCCGAAATAATGTTAAAAAGAATGTTAGAGCAGGCTCCGGCGCCCTAACCAGTCCATTTTGCTTCGTTATCTGGCCCCAGTTGTTCAAGAGGTGGATAGCACCATCCACCGCATAAATCATCAAAAACAGACATGACATGACACTGGTACGGTTATTACGTTTAACCATTACGGCTATTTATACACTGTTATATTATATGTAATCCTTCATACGACACTGAAAAACTTGACACTTCATTGTAGGCGAAACGACTTAGGTCATGTAGGCGAATCGACCTGAGTGTAGGCGAAACGACTTGTACGCGAAACGACCGGTTTCCAATCTCTGTCCAGTGGATAGTGTGCAATTGGTTATCCACTGAATAGAGATTTATCCGGTGGATAGCGCTGTCCAGCTTTTGAACCTCTGGAGCTTGATGATTTTATTGTATCCTTTTCAGAGCTATTATACCGCGATCTTGAATCCAAACACTGCAAACATGAAACAGCTTTCCTGCCCAGTACTTTACGGGACCTTCGAGAAACGAGCTTCAGGGCCTTCAATAAAATGTTATCTTAAGTTATTGTTTCTTAACATTAAAAACACAAAAATTATGATTTTTCGTAGCTTGAATCCGGCCCCATCTGATCTGTTTTTCCTCATAATGCCACAATTTATTTGGTCATGTTCATGCTAATAAAGGAATTTATTACAAAAGAGAACCTGTCTTCATTTTATAACTATTTCCTCCTTTGTTTCATTACAAATGTAAGGAGAATTGCGAAGAAAGAGGTGAACCATTCCTTCCGCCCCTTGCGGCTTCAACGCTCGCTTCGCTCGCCAGAAATGGAGAACTTGCTCGCAGGCCAGTAGGGTCGGTGGTGTCCTGGTGATTGGGTGTCCCAGTGTCGAGGTTAGCCTGCCAAAACATCAGTTTCTCCTCGCTCTTCGTAGCTGGGGACGTTCCGCGAAACGTCCCCAAAGAGCGAGGAGAAACGGATGTTTTCGCAGGCTATGTCAAGGTATCGCCGCACCCAAACAACTAGTGATATCGCTGCTGAGCAGGTACTGGCCCCATCCAAGAGACTTGCCCCTTCTAATTTTGCGTAAGTGTCTTGGGTATCTTTGGATACCCTCCCGGTATACAAAGATGTCAAGATCTGTATAAGTGATTTGGGTGTCCCTTGTCAGTTTTTTACGCTGTGGGTGCCGTAACATTGTCCCCTCCCTTAATTTCGAACCTAACCCGAGATGCCAAATTGAGAGAAGACAATAAAAGATTTCCATATGTGAGGGTTTTTTTGGTAAACGTGAATATACTGCTAAATATCATTATTTCACAGAGTATTGCAACAGCAACAATAAATTCAGGTACGAGTGGGTGAAAGATACTGTCAAAATGTGACAGTCAATTTGACCAGGCGTGGTTCTTCTTTTTCTACAACCCCACTACGCTTCCCCCCACCCCTTAAAACAAAGGCTCAAAATCGCAAAACCAGAGCCCCCTCTCTCAGCTCGAAATGGCGGGAAACGGCTATCTCCACTTGTTCGGCTATCCCTACCTGAGGTGTGTAAGGGAAGATAACATGAGATCTTCCATGAAATTCTTTTCCTTTCTGTGTCATAGTCATGGGGTTTGATAAGTTACCATACATAGAGTATCTAGTCGAAATTTTCAACTAGGAATTCGCAGGCTCAGAAGCACTACGAAAACACAAACGACGATGAAACGGTGGAAGTGTCTTTGCGACGGGATTTTACCCCTTTTACCTGGAATCGCAAGGCTTTAGTCAATATCATATGCAACAAAAGGATTAAAAGCTTGCAGTGTTCGTTTCAGTTTGGCGGCTGCCTTTCCACGGGAAGAGCAAGCAACTTTTGAGCAACTCTCTGCAGCAGGTACGTAAGAAAAATCGCTTCCGTTCATGAAATGTCTTCGGGTTTTCGTTTTTGAAGTTTCAGTAAATCACAAACGATGCGGAGAAGGATTTGCTAGAAAAAAATTGACAAGTTGAGGTAGCTTGGTCTTGACAGCGTCAATATCAACAGAATTACTTTAAAGATCCGGTCAGATCAACAAGACGGTGTATATGATTTGGACTTTAAACTTTATTACCTTTCTTAGTTGCTACAAACAGGGATGTCATGAAATGAAATAATCTTCGGAAAAATTTATGTGTTATGACACTCTGTAGAGTTTGTTAAATTCTCCATCCATATGTAACACTAAGATTTGAATGTGATAGTTTTTTTGGGAGGTTGTGCCCGTTATTACAGTACTCTGGTCCGAGGCCGACATTTCCTTGATGAATGCCGGAACTTGTGACAGGAGGCAGAGGATAACTCCTTTGGGGTGTTAAGAATGAGTCACCCTTCTAACAAGAGCTACAACTCTAGAACACTCTGTTGTGTCTATACCTCTGTGTGATCTGCACCAAGTTTAGAACTTTAAGGTCCTTAGGAATTTTTGGATTATTTGTTCCAAGTATTTGAATGGAGTGCCTGTAAACTATCTGGATATACTACAATTAGGTACACTTACCACTACAAACAAACCTTTAACTTTTATCTGTAAATTGATTAATTTTTACAGGTATGCAACAGCCACATTTGTGTCTTGTGCCTCAGTTGTGATTGTTAATTTTGTTCTTTTTAGCCAGATCATGGAACAAACTGATTTACAGTGTAGCTGCTGCTTTGAGTTGATGGTAGAACCTACAACTCTCAACTGTGGACATAGCTTTTGTCGCTTCTGCCTGGCAAAGTGGTGGGATACATCAAAACGTGCCACATGCCCTGATTGTCGGCAGCCTTGGGTGGGCTTCCCTAAAGTCAACATTGTATTAAGGTAATTGGAGTGTGCTGAATGAAAGAGAGAATTCTTTGCTATTGATTGGCTAGAAAATACGTTGTGGCAGCAAAATAAGGAATTTTATAGGAGTAAGGCCTGGTTCAGACAGCGATCTTTTCAAGTGCCAAACCTAAATAGAATTAGGGCCAACCCAACTTATTTAGGCCGGCTGAATTGGACGCCGATCTTAATTGCAGCTGAACTAAGTTCAAAGGCAAAAAATGCTCATTTCAGTCAAACTGCATACAAAATACACTTATGCATTAGGTTCGGTACATGAAAAGTTTGGCGTCTGAATCAAAGCCGTTCCACAGTCGCTCCAAAGGTGAAATTCCTGGCTGGGCTAGGCGAAAAGAATGGCTGAGCCATTCCACATTGAAACAGGTGTTCCTAATAATTGATTCAGACGCCAAACTTTTCATGTACTTAATTCAATGTATTAAGTTCGGCTCTTGAAAAGTTCGGCATTTGAACCCGGCCTAAGTTCCCTGGGGCTCTTCCATCTTCCTTATGAACCTTGCAGTGACTTTGTCTTTAAATACAGCTGTAATATCCCATCTCAATTAGCTATCCTTAGGCCTCTAAGGATGTTTTGGTACTTACAGATACTCAGTGATCCTTTTACATCCGAAATGGAGAAGAAAACCACCGTTTAGGTCAGCAGTCAGCAACTGAGATTAGTCAGCACGGTATTAAGTGTAACTCAACCACATTTCTACAATGCCAAGTGAATGGGGAATTTTTTTAAAAGAAAAAAAATCAAGCTAGCACGGTAAAATATACCAGCCATTGATAAGATCACTTCATGTAATCAAAACGTAGATTACTACTGTAAAACCTTGCGTAGAAGCCGCACCTGCTTGCAGAAATTTTTAATTTTTTTATGCTTGTTAGTTTTATTGATCTCAAACTGTAATGCATTACTTATAATAAATGATTAATTTATTTTGTTTTACCTCTTTCTTGGTAAACAGAAAGACCATCAAATCGTTGTTTCCTGAAGAAGCTGAAGAGCGCCAGAACTTTCAGGAACTTTTGCTGGACTACAAATCTTTGATCACCGAATTTGAATCACTGAATATCAAACATCAGAGGCAATCCAGTGTCAGCGAAGGAGCACAACTTGTACATCATCAACATTTTGGCTTCAATCTACCAAAGATCGTATTTGTCACTGTGTCTATTTTTGGAATTGCCATTGTAAGTAAAGCATCAAGTAAAAAAAAAGATGAAGTGTTGTGTAAGTCACATTTGGGATTTAAAAAGATTCTGGTATCAAGTGGTTTGTCTTGTCCCCCAAATCTGGGGGAAAAATGATAGCAAGAGAAAGTCTCCTTTGATGAGTATATTCTTATTTTTAGTGTAATTATTCCAAGCGGAGCACCTCTTGAAAGTGAGGTTGATAATCTCGTCACGCACAATGCATGTGCAGTGTGGGTGACTCCCATGAGGATCGCAAGGCAAGCGTCATCGTTTCTTTGCTGTAAATCTATCGCGTTTGGTTAGTGTCCACCTTGACATCATTGCATTGTTGATTTCCAGACAATAATTGATAGGCTTGCTTTGCGCAGAGTGTTACGTTGCTTTGGTTATATTTCTCTGGGGGTTGGCTTTTTTAGCGCTGGATTTAGGAGTTGATAAGTGCTTTTTGCGATAAATCTCAAAAACAAAAGTACTTTTAAAAGAAAATGGAAGGTATTTGGATCATTAGCCTTAAGAAATGAGCAAAAATCGAGGTAACAAAACACATGTTTTTCTCTCATATGAGTGTATACCATATTGGCTGTGTTGGACATCTGTTCTTTAAATGCAATGAAATGCATTTAAGCTTGGTCTTTTAGGTCCATAGAAAAAACAGTCATTCTCCTTAAAATAGCTTTGAATTCGTGTTTAACAGGGCTTGATCATCTTAAACAGGACGTTCTGGTGGAAGTTCTAGGGGAAAGGCTTTAAATAGAATATTATCATCTCATTCATGGTACATGTATGTTCCCATGTGGCATAAGTGGTACTGATGTGGCCCGGTGCATAGGAGATCCTAAGTTTGATTCCGTGCGGAAGAACCCTTTTTTCTTTTCTTTCATGCCATTCCTCCAGATTCGCTCTGTGAGGTCCTGCGATTCATGTATTTCTAGTAGAACTATTTATTTTTAGAACAGTAACTATTGCAGTACTGTGGAACCTCTCTACAATGGTCAGCTTGTAGAAAGAGCTTAAAACAAGGGTTACTGCTAAATGAAAAATTACCCATTGTTTACTGACGTGGCTTGTATAAAGAGGTGGGCATTGCATTGGCCTCACAAGAGTTACGTTGGACCTTGATTCCTGCTAAATTCACAGTGGAAATCACTCTTGTTTACTGACGAATATGAATGAACATGACTAATGGTTATATATTGGTCCAACCTGTGACTGTTTGATCACCATGCTGACTAGAAAAAAAAATTTGATGACCAGCTGTGTTTGGTAGCAATGTGGCCAAGCTGTAATGTTTTTAACAGTTAGTATTTATGGTCTTGTAGTTAAAGTGAGATAAGCATTGACATGAAACATTATGTATGCTCCAGTATTTTATATTTTCTTGATTTGCCTGTTTCATCTTGTTGTCCAGGTTTTAAGCATTGAGATGTGCTGTGCATGTCAAAAACATTTGGTAGCCATTTTAATTATTTTAACCTTCATAATATTGACGAAATTGTCCGTTTTTTTGGCAACCGATGTGTTTAATGTCTGGTCACCACATTTAATTTTATGTTGCTAACAGGGGACTAAAAAAAAAAAGCTTGAGCAATGACCACGTTGTCTAGTCTGTTGAATTATATAACTGGAATCAAGGTTAAATTAAATGTAACTCCTGTGTATTGTGGACATTGTAGAGAGGACAACAGTTACAGGTGTAGTAGAGGTTCAACTGTTATACCTGTAGCTGTCCTGTATTTAAGTACATGCAGTATTTGAATTATCATGATACTATTGCAGTACCGGTAGTCATAATGACCTTGACGTTAATATTTACTGCAATTAAAACATATTTTTATTATTATTGCCTCGGTGGTTTAAAAAGACTCAACATTAGTTTTTGAAGATATAGTAATGGTCATGGAAAGTTAAGGGCAATGGCAAAAATACCAGTATAATATTATTTCTATGTTAAATTTATGAGACTGATTGTTCAATTTTTTTCATCCACTTTAGTTTACCTATTCAGTGCTGAACCTGTTTGTTGGAAACAAGGAATCACTTGTTAGAAAGTCAGTACTAAGATGGGGCACCACAGATGTTGTCAAGTGGGTGAGAAGTTTAGGATCCTGGGCTCAGGGATATGATGAAAAATTCCTGACGGCTGGAATTGATGGAAATCTTTTGCTTTCACTGTCAGAGTATGACCTTGAACAGTCACCTCTTGACATGAAACCTTCCTACCACAGAAGAGCTTTCCTCAAGGAGATTGAAAATTTGCGAACACTGGGTGTAAAATCCCCAACAGATGTCTGGGAATACAAGGTGGGTTGTCATGTGAGATGTAATAACGGTATTAACGTACTGTCTGCCTCAAGTCAGGCTTGTCCAGGGGCGTAGCCAGGGTTTTTCAAAGGAGGGTCACAGCAAGGACACCATCCCGGGATCGCCGACTATATATGGTTTATACTGCTGCTCTCTCTTGTGTATCAGCGGGCTCAGTTGTATGTTATCGCGGCATGAAGGCCCATATTAACTAAAGACAAGAGCCGTTGACAAAAATACTTTACAAAAAAACAAATTTTAAAGAAGTGGGCTTTTCAACAATGGCTGTTACGGCCAAGATATTGTCAAGGCATTTTCACCACCTGAATATTGTCGGTTGTTTGCTCAAAAGAAGGCCTACCAAGGGGGGGTCACGGGCACCCCAGGACCCCCCTAGCTACGCCCCTGTTGTCATTTCTGGTGAAAGAGCCGTAAGAACTGTTCAACTTAAATATTGGTCCTTTCATTTATTTTTTTTTGGAGATGAGCACATTTAGAAAAATTATTAAATGAAACTCGTCTCATTATCCCCTGGTACTTCTTTTGTAATTTTTCAACGTTTTTTTGATTTGCACCTCTTTTAGAAAAGAAAATATAATAGCCTCTGATTGACTGTTCTTAATAATTTTAGGCTGCTCATCCTGTCCTTTCAATATTTCTTTTGTGGGGTCTGCGTGAATTTCCAAGGTTAACAGTGGCATCCATGTTCTTTGCTTATGATGAGGAAGTGTTTCAGCCCCTTTTGTACTACACAAGTGAGGTTGATTTGGAGGAAGATATAAAAGAGGTAAGGAATAAGCTACAAACTTGGAATATTCTTACAGCAACAAGGACAACAAAAAAGAGCATCAAAATGAGGTTGAGAAGAGAACTTTATTACCTTACCACATTCACACCCTGACCACCCTTAACGGCTTGTATAAAATATATACCAGTATACTGTAATGGTCAGTTTCAAATTGATGCCTAATATGTGAAGTGGAAAGAGATCTTTCAAACTATACCCAAATGAGCTATTGTAGGTTTAGTGAAAAAGGCCCAAAAAGAAAGCACAAAATCATCGTGTAACTATAACTTACGATATTTTGTACCCACCTGTACAGTACTTCCTTCAAAATAATAGAAATATTTGGGAATCCTTTGGGTTTCCTCAAAATCTTTTACTAGTGAAATGAAGCCTAGTAAATACCCACCAAAAGAAAAAAAGGGGAAAAGAAAAATGAAAGAAGTGGGGAGGAGAGAAAGCAAAAGTAAAAATCAAGGTAGGCTTGATTTCCACCATCTGCTGACTCTGTTCTTTGATCCTCCCTGAAGAGAGACAGCTGGAAACCCTGAGTGGCTGATTGTGTTGGTATTATAAATTCAAAATTTGATTTATGTGTCGCTGCAAAACAAAAGAAACAAAAAATGTCATCAGGCACTGAACACATCTTGTTCTTTTTGCCTCATTGTCACAGTCTTCATCAATAAACTCTTCAGCAACAGCTACTTAGGTTTGTAAGTTTAATACACTCCAAAACTCAATTGCACACCACATCTAAGCACTACAAAAAATAATTCATGCTGCCAGACCGATATGAGCTGTAGGCAACAATCTGATTGGTGGAAATTGACAATAGCAAACTCATGAATCCAGCTGTCTTTTCGGGGGAGGATCATGGACTCATTTCTTGAATGGCAGCTAATAATCAAACCTAAAATCAGGGGGGGAGTGAAACTTTTGTCCAAAGGCTATCACGGCATTTTACCTCCATGCATGTCCAACTTCAAAAGTTGTAATTAAGCACCAAGAACAGAAGCCAGAATAGTGTAATAATTTATTAAAAGTGTATTATTTTTTTGTCAGGTTGCCCTACCTTCAGAGGAATATTTGCGATTTGGCCTTCGTCTGCTCCTGGTTCCATATTACCTGATTGCCAGGTTTACAATTAAATGTTTCTACCTTAATTACTGGGTTGGCTGTTTTGTCCTAGCCTACTGTGTCTTAATGACTCTGGTGGAGTTTTCCAAACTTAAATGGCTTCTATTTATGGGAGGTTGGAGGTAAGTTAAGAACATTCTTGATGTAATATATCAAGCATGAGATGGAGACTGTGTTTCATCACCAGATAAAACACTGAGAATAGAGTTGAAAATCACCACGCAGTGGAGTATTAATTTTTTGACGAACTTGAGGTGTTTCATCTAGTGATGAAACACTACGTCAAATGCTTGATATTACTTCTCAAACAAAATGAGTTGAGAAGGAGAAATTAAGGATGCAAAAATGAGTAGTTTTTTTTTAATCTGATTTCCAAACACTCATTAAACTTTAATTTCCTTAGCCCAAGAAAACAGCTGACATTTGGCAATGCCACCACTGGTTTCCCTGCCAAATGACGTCTGAGAAATGAGCACAGAAATTCCATACTGATGACACATCACTACCCAGATCTGGGTAGTGATGCTTCATCAGTTTGGTGAGGAAACCAGTGGTAGCGTCACCAAATGTCGGCTGTTTTCTCAGGCTATAATTTCCTTTGTATTTTTGTTATAAATTATTAATTTTATGAGTTTAAGAAAGTCAAATGAAAAATTTCATAATACATTCCTAGAGCCCATAAATGGACACAGGTTTCTTTGGGCTTTGGTCATTCATTGCTTGCATGTACTGTGTTTATGAAATAATTATACAAACTGTAAAGAGCGTCACTGGACGTTAAAGCATGTAACAGGGTGAAGTATAAAGAAGAGCTATGCTGAAGAAACTGTGGTATAAAATTTAATGGTCTTTTACAACAGAGGAAATGGCTTTCATCCTTGAGAGTTTCTGAATGCAGCTACTGCACAGCCAATGGTGTTTGGAACTGAAACAAGAGAATTAATTGAACTGAATGAATTTCCCAGTGGTCATCATTATTAATTAAAAGAAAAAGTTATTTATGAATTTGAAATTTGGGGTGATCAATATTGTCACTTTAAATCATAAAATACGGTAAACCCAGTTATTAATACAGACGCTGACAGGACATGCCATAGTGTCCGTATTAACCAGCCTCCAGTAACTTGTGCAAAAGGTGGATAATGCTATGCACTGGATAAACCACTATCCACTGGATAGTGCAATTGGTTTCCCTAACACTTATCCATTGCATAGTGATTTATCCGATGGATAGGGCTATCTAACTTTTAAACAACCCGGGGCTGGTGTCCATATTAAGGGGACTCTCAGAAGAGACGTCATGGACACATGTTTTATCGATATGAAGGTGAAAGTACACATGCAGACATTTTCATGCGAGAAAACTTTGTTTAATTTCATAACTGTAACTTAACTCTGTAATGAGTTCATTGATCTTAAAGAAACCTGATGATCTTTTATCAGAGTATTGGCCTGGGCTAAACTTTCCTTTTAAGTCAGTGCTCTTCAACCCAAAGACTGTTTCTTATGTACATTATGGACTTACGACCTGCCTGCATAGTGTTTGAGTTTCCATGGAAACTGTAAACAAAATTTAGGGAACCTAATTCTGGTTGCAGGTTTCAAAACCTCAGGCAAGATGACATTCAGGAAACTTGACCAGTCACCTTTTTTGCACTGAAAGTTCTTGTATGGTCAAAAAATGTTTCTCTTTTGTTGCTCTTTGTTCAGGCAGCTACCAACTTTGTGTGCCAACATCACTTCAACAGCGTTTGTAAATGGGTTATTCCAGCTTGCCCTTTGGCAGATTTTGCCAGCTTTTATCTGTGATATTGCATTTTACTGGATGATGTTTCTGGCACCATATTCTGCATGGAACTCCTTCAAAGCTCGCTTGGCTGAAGATGAAGGAGGAACAAACATTACAAGAGATTTTTTGATGTGGCTTTGGAGGAATGCTAAGCTAAAGTTACGGCAATTACGTGTTCAAAGACACTTTTAAAACTTGCAAATTAGCTGTTACTCTAGCCGAGAAAACAGCCGACTTTTCGTGATGCCACCTCTGGTTTAATTTCCCCACGAAATGATGTCTGAGAGAAGAGCGCAGAAAAGTCCATATTGATGACATATCACTACCCAGATGACCCAATCAGAAGCTCTGCCTGTATCTGGGTAGTGAGTGACCTGTCATCAGTATGGAATTTCTGCACTGGTTTCTCAGATGTCATTTCGCAGGGAAACCAGTGGTGGCATTGCAAAATGTTGGCTATTTTCTCAGTCTACTGTTACTACTGTAAGTGGTGATGTACAGCTGTATACCTATTTGAGTGTAGAGGTGTAGAAGAAGTTGGTAACACAGTCAAGGGCTTTGAGGCTGTATTGCCTAATCTGACTCAATACTTATTTGAACTGACAGTGCAGTTAATTAATGTTTTTAGCACCTAAAGCAGGTGCGGATCTAGCCTGCGTGGCAGGCGCAAAAGGGAGAGGGGGGGAGGGGAGGGAGAAATGCGCGAAAGAATGGAAAAGGGAAGGGAGCGCTTGCTTTAAGAGCCAGTGTTTTTGTATTCCGCCCACCAATTCCTTAACTAATCTGATAACGTCAACTGTGTATAAGTGACCAATCACAAGCAGGGGGCTTCTCAGCATGGTCCAAACTTAATTACTTCGTTTACCAGAAATTGTCAAGTCACGAGGCTGTTTTTGAAATGATATAATATTGAGCAAAATAAAACATTTTACTGTTCTTGCTCCTACAGCAAACATGACAAACATAGACTACAAGCGGTCTCTCTTTTTTTTACTGCTCGCAGTCTGTGACCAACAATGATCAGTTTTGTGTGAATATACAGGACCTTTGGTCTTGCCTCATCAAACATAATGGTCACAAATATTACAAGAATAATGAAAGGAGTATTATAAACAATTGTCCAAAAACTCGACAGATAGTTTTTACCAAAGCTTCAGCTCTCTCTTTACAAACCATTTAGAAGTTCATTCATGACATATAATGTTTTTGCAGAAAAGGTGGTCTTTTGAACATCAGCATTGCAGATGCGTGGCAAAAATCGCAATCATTCTTATTGCCACTTAGTGTTTGGACAAAATCGGTATACAAAACCTACTGAGCATCTCTGCCTGCCAAACAAGCAATTAAAGTTGGTTCTAGTTTGGGTTTTAACCTGAAGCTGCAACATTACTGGAGTAATTTGATCTTCCAAAGCTTATGCTAGTAGAACACATTTCCTTGATGCCTGCATCATGTTTGTCTCTTAATAATACTTGCCAATAAGTTACTCATTACAGCTTAGCCAATCAGGATTGTGGATGCCAGCGTCCGCAGAAATGAACAAATGGGGGTTCTTATAGCAGGCTTCCCTTGTCCTCTCTCCCTAACCCCCCTGCCTTTTTCACTTCCTACCTATCCTGTACCCCTTTTGACGCCTGCTATGCAGGCCTGCTAGCACTGATCTAGGATAAATACTGACCTATTTCCCAACGAGTACCGAGGACGCAAGCTTCTTGGGGGCTGTTGGGGAGATGCTCTCCTGGGTTTCCGAGTCATCCAGGCAGGATTTTTGGACATTTGTCCAAACCATTTTCCAGATTTCAACGTGGAAAGTTTTTTTATTATTATTAAAAATACATTTATAGTGAAAAGTCTTACCAATTTCTATAAAAGGTGGACACTGGTGTGGATCCGTGCCTGTAGAAACTGCAAGCCTTTTCCTCAGAAATCAATTTTAGAGGTCAATTTGAATGTAATCTCTCCAGTCAGTCCTTTTCTGTGACGAGCAATAGCCTTTCTCAGACAGCAGTGTCATTCTATTGAAAATATCACAATTCATTTCGTTTTTACAGTCTAAAAATAAATTCCCAGTGACATTTAACCAAAATATTCATTAAAAATTATAATTTGCCAATTAAAATAAAATCCTGAATGCATTTTGGTGACTCTAGGAAAATTCGTGATGCCATAGTATAGAGGATGAATCTTTATCGACAATTTACATTCCACTATCATAGACTTAAATTTTGATGAAATAAAAATAAAAATATTAAAAGATCCTAAAACACTAATTTACAAGCTCATGCCATTATCAACTTTCTAAAATTAGCAGACACACGCTTGGCTAGCTTTAAGCGGCAGTCATCATATGACCAATTTGCGTTTCACTATCATAGACTAAAATAGTAAAAATGGCCTATAATTAACAAAATACTCCAGTGTTGTTTTCAGTGGAGGTGGTAGCAACTTACTGTGTGTGACACCAGATTTATAAGTTATGTCATCTAAAATAGACCACATTTTCTGAAATATTAATTTTTGCATGCTTTCGTGTGGGATTTTTAGTATTATTTGATGTTAGCTTTTTAAATTTCCGTTAACTACAGTACTTAAAATAATATTATACCAGTATACTTGGAACTGTTATTTTTTAAAATCAAACGTATAGTAATAAGCAATGAAATTACAGCCAATAACTAGAAGTTATGTTTCAGTCATGTTAGTCTTTCAGAGTTTGGTCATCAGCGTAACTAACTGTCCTTAGGTCTGACCATGGGGAATTGTTTACAAAACTAACTTTACTTGAAACAACAAAATCAGTTTTAATTGACTTGATTATTGTAAAACTAGCATGTGAGCATTCAGGCTCTACCAGTAGTGTGAGGTTTATAGGAAGGCTTCATTCAGCAGACTGGTTTTCCGTCAGTCTAGCTCTGCAAGGGTTTTGCCTAAAACCCGGAATCGGGAAAAAACCAAACCGAATGCCAAATGACCCTGAAGTTTAGTGATTAGGGTTAGGAAACTGAGTGAATCAGGTTACATTTAGGGTCATTATACTGGGAAAACTGACCTGAAACTTGATTCACTCAGGGCGTGATCCATTCAACCAAAATTTCTGGAAATTTCGGTCCAAAACTCAATGGATCGGTTCAGTCCAACTGGAAAAGTTTCGAAAAAACAGGTCCACCTTTTGAGGTGGTCCTCTTTTCCCGGTTGGACCGGTCTGAATTTTGGTTGAATGGATCGTGTCCTCAGTGTCCTAAACCCAATCACTAAGCCTCAGAATCATTTGGTGTTTGGTGCGGGTTTTTTCGGATTCTGGATTCCGGGTTTTAGACAAACACCTCTGTACGCAATCAATACATCACTTAGGAGGATGTTCATAGGTTTTTTAAAAATGTACTAAATTGATATCATAATATTATTGTAGGAACAAATTAGGCTCAGATTTTGATCCTTTTTTCAGTTTATTACTCTTTACCGTCAAAAACATAAAGGTATTACCCTCAGCAAGTTTTTTAAGCACCAACAGTGTAGTTATTTGTGTACTTGCTTTGATTATTTAACCCATTCCAGGCACTTTTCTTGAAGTAACCTTAATAGACTTTTATATTCTTAGCTATGAATCCTTATACAAGCCAGATACAATAAAGGCCATTTTATGAGCAATTCCCACTGTCTCTAACTCAAACTCTCTTAAATCTGATGTAGAATCCAAGGCAAATATATTAAGAAAGGCTTGAACGATGTGTTCTCTTTCAGTTAAAAATACAGGCGAACCTCCATGTTCCAGGGGTGTCTTGAAAGACCCCTAAGACCCCATACCAAATGACTCTGAACTTTATTGATTTAGGGTTAAGAAACTGAGTGAAGGTCATTATAATGGGCAAACTGAGCTGAAGGTTGATTCACTCAGTTTCCTAACCCTAATCAATAAAGTTCAGTGTCATTTGGTAGGGAATCTTAGGGGTCTTTCTTTTCAAGACACCCATGTGCAACCATCCCTCTTCCCTATAGTTGTAACTTCTCCTGAATGACTTAACACCCACCTTGCGCTCTCGCAAGCCACTGTGCTTTCCACTGGGGTAGAATAATCATCTCACAAAATAATGCTTTAAACAGCTTGGGACAGCAAAAAAATATGACAAATAACAAAGAACCCTTTTTACAGACCCTCTATTTTCTCTTCAGAGTACTCATTGATTTTCAAAAAGAAAACAACGTCTGCATACAGGCTTGTTTTGCTTGAATTTTTGTTAAAGGACTGGGGTTCACATTTGTATTTAGAGTTAATTGTAACCACCGTAATGTTGATCTGTATTTTTGCTATTGAGTACAAAAGATCGATGATCAAATTTCAATAACAACAAATTGCAATAAGAGGGTAGTCTGCCTGTGGTTTAATCAAAAAGGGTGTATGAAAACTTATTTTAAACACTTTTAAACAACCTGTGTATTTATGAGCAGGATTGAAATATAGTGCAATACATGACAATATATAATACAATGAAAAAATTGTAACACAGTTAACAATAAATCATTGAACTTGTGTGTTTTTTGGACAACAAAATAAAACTTTACAAACACTTACAAATCTTACGTAACCACCATATTGACGGGGACTAACCACGCGCGTGAAACACGCGCTTTGTTTCATAAATTGTGAACGTCACGCAGGGAAATTGTTATTCCCACAAAAATATATTACACTTCCTTATCCGTTGTCCACTACAAATAACACTTCACTAGGGCTTATAAAGTTTTATTGTAGATATTTCAGATGCTGATTACTATACGCTCAATGTCGTTCGCTGGTATCTTCGAGTCCATTTCTTCTCCGCAAATGCGAAAAACAACGTCCGTATTGTGGGGAATTTTCAAAGAAGCGTAATATACATCCCATAACCAACCAGCTCCACCTCGCTCCAGCAAAGAGACCGAAACTTGCGGACTGTATCCAAGCAAAGCCCAAGTCATACTTAAGGCACGATTCCTCTGATGCGAAAACACTAGTGCTTCACATTTCTGTCGATCGAGGGAAACCCCAGGGCATTCTTTGAAATCACCGTAGAGTTGCTTTCCTCCGTTTAATTGTATCACATCCCAAGTGCTTGTCGAGGAAAGCACAGCTTTTATCTGGCTTAACTGCGAGTAGGACAGCCTGCCTGAAGCCCAAGAAGGAACAATAGCGTCTTGCAAACTTTCTAAGTAGCCCCGGCTAAAGCTTTGAATGAATTTGTCATGGTCGCCCGGTTTTACAACCGCGGGATCGTTCGAAATTGTATCGTCCAGTTCAACGTTTGAGTTGCAGAATACAACTCGACTGCGAAATAACTTCTCTGCAACGAAAATATCTTGCCTGCTTAGATGATCTCTTAGCAAACGTGCTTTGTTTTGAGTCTCCGTGACACTATTTTCGTGTTCAATGTGGTTGGTCGAAAAGGAGGTAGTCGAGACCTGTCGTGTTTTTGTCTGTATCCACTTTGATTTATCATCGCTGCACGCTACAGAACCACTCCAACATTTCACCTCGATGCAAAAGATCCCATCACCATTGACCACAACGACATCAATCTCTCTCTTCCTAGCTTTATACTTGTCTGGAATTCTCAGGCAACAAAACAGCGAAGTTTTGTCAAGTCCACTTTTCAGGCGCAAAGAAGATGCCAACGAGATTTCAGCATTTCGACCGGCTTTGACATGCTCTTCTTCCAGATGTTCCTGTGGATTTGCCGCCTGGCTAGCCTGCTGTAGACGTTTTGTGATGTCGAACATTTTTGGATTCAGGAACAATACATTTGCTTTTATAAAAGAAAGCTCGTTGCAGTACTTTTTTTTTCCTAAACAAATGACGCAACGTGTGTTTACCATGAGCTTGCAAAGTACTCTGGGAAACCACAACCCAACCTCCCCGCCGATCCCATGCATATGCTTTGATTCATGACTTTGCAGAGTACTATTTGCAGTGATTGGAGGTGAGTCAAGCTGTTATTTCCTTCCCCTAACGTTCAAGTTTTGTAAACAATTATTGTCGCAGAAGAACGCTCTTTTTCCTGCAAGTCTGGACCAAACTCTCTCACACCGAGCCCCAAATGTCAACCCCCCGCCAGCGGTTATAAAGTTTTCTCTTGTTCATTCAAGAACTGAACATCCAGTGTCTTTCGAAAAAAGTTCTGAAGCTGTGGACTATTTTGGCACTGAAGGCGCTTTCCATTTGTCAGAAATGGCCCGCAGGGCCATTGCTGGACCAGTCAGTTAGCAAGTGAAATCGGCTTTTTCTAAAGGGTATTTGCTGAAAAACCACAGCTGAAAACCATCTTCTTCGTGCGTACTATCTTAACTATAGGATTTGGCTGATCTGGCTGGATAGTTTTGATTAAAAGTGAAATTCTCATTTCGATGGGAATGGTCTGGCCGGTCAGTTCTGACAAATAGAAGGTGCCCTTGTATTGGCGGTTCCCGGGGGTAGGTGCGGGAGTAGTGGGGGATAGGGACATGTACTTAGGAAGCCCTGCCCAGAGGTCCAACCCTTTTATGTACCATTTTTGACGGAATACCCATTTTGACACAGGCAGACATCAAAATCAAAATGATACAGCCATAGGTACCTCTTTTAAAATTATATTATATATAGTTCTTTTTTAAAATGGCCCATAGGTACCTCTTTTAAAATTATATTATATATAGTTCTTTTTTAAAATGGCAGATTTTCCTACAACTTCAACTTGTAAATTCCTACCTTTTATGTACCTGAAACCTGTACCTATCTGTTCTCCCAGGTTTGGGAATTTATGGTACACAATTAAACAGGGTCAATTTTACCAAGTCTCTTGGTGTATTAATTGATGAAAATTTAACATGGAGTAATATATCATATCAAGGCAATATCAAAAAAGATTTCTTCTGGCATTGGATCTATTAAAAATGAATTAGCCACTGTGTTCCTTTTACAACCCTGCATAATATCTATCATGGGTCAGCTCAATCCTGCCTCAACTATTGTAGTGTTGTTTGGGGTAACTGTGCCAAAACGTTATCTGAAAAATTACAGACTTCAAAATCAGGTAGCCCGTATCCTTACTCAATCCAGTTATGATGCTGACGCCAACCAACTAATTAAAAAATTAGGTTTAGACAATTTAGAAACTTGAGGTCAAAAACTAAAGGCTGAGATGGTTCATAAATCTTTAAATGGCCTCACGCCCTGACCCAGGTATTTGTCCTCTAAATTCATTCCGCGGGGTGATATGATTACTTTTTACAATTTGTATAATTCTGAGAATAAGCTTGCAATTCCCTTGCCACAAAAAATAGCTTTAGCTACAGTGGTGCAGTCCTCTGGTGCAGTCTGCCTTCAGCTGTCAGGCAAGCAGCATCTCTAACTAATTTTCGACAATTGTTAATTAATTCCAACACAGCATTCATGAAAAACAGGCTTTAATTAGTTTTTTTTTCTAAGTTTTTCGTCTTAATCTGAATACATAGTCCTCAGTGATATGTTGTTTTTTCCCTCTATCACATTGACGGAAATACTTACTAATTTGATTTGCCTGATGTTTGTAACTGTGTAACTATAGATAATAATTATTTGTACACAGTTACAAACATCAGGCATATCAAATATTACAGATGATGAAAAAAGATGATGATGATGATGATGTGAAAGGTACCCTTTTAGGTGGAGCCCAGGGAGTACCCCCAAGCACCCTTGTCATTTTTGAAATGGAGAACCCCATAGACAAAAAGTGAAAATTCTTGACATTTGACTTTCTAGACCATTCACTTCTAATTTTCAACCCATCCCGAGGTAATTTTCCAAAAGGTCAAAAAGACATGTAACAGACAGTGACTGACACTGTGGGGTGGAGGGGTACTCCCTACAATTGCTTATAAATACACAGGTAGGTTACCATTTTCAGGCTTCATGTATTGGAGAGGGCAGAGATTTCATCAGCTGAAGTATATGAAAGTATAGGGAAATCTGTCGTTTTGGACTCAAAATAGGCCCAAAAGGGCAAACAGATCTATTTTATGGCTGTGAAAAAGTTGAGAAAGCTTTCTGGTTGTGTAATTTATTTAGACATATTTTAACCCTTTAAGTCCCAATAGTGACCAAGATCAATTTTCTCCTAACAATATCCATACATTGTCAAGAGATATGTTATGAGAATTAATAAAATGATCACCCAAGAGAAAATGCCTTGATCTATTATCAAATTCTCTCATTTAATTCTTCAACAAAATGTATGGAGATCAGTTTGGAGAATTTGTATGTTGATACTGGGGCTTGAAGGGTTAAAGACAGTGCAATTACAGCAGTTAAAAGGGATGTAGTGTTCTAAACTAGGTATGTGAAAGGAGTACCTTTTGTCAATAAAAGGTACATAAAAGGAGTAACTTTTCTGTCAAAAATAGTATATAAAAGGGTGAGGGGTTGGACCTTGGGACAGAGCCTCCCTGTACAGAACTTTGGTGAGAAACTCTCGTCCCCCCCCCCCCCCCCCCCCCCCCCCCCCCCTCCCCCCCCAACACACAATCGGGGACTTTTAAATAGAAAAAAAAAAACAGCATTTAAAAAAAACACACAACTATCCCTCAAATACAAAATGTTCTTATTAAAGAAGAAAAAAACGCTTATAATAGTCACCTCTCATTCCCCCCCCCCCCCCCCCCCACACCCCCGCTCCCTGCCCCAGCAAGTGACATTAGGGCCATTTATATGAGGAAAAATAAGACGCATCTTAAATAAGACACGAACTGTACCATTTATACGAGCATGTCTTATCTAAGATGAGAACAACTCGTATAAATGGTTCACGTCTTATTTCTGTTCTTGACTCGTTTTCATGTGAATTTTGCCTGTAGCAACAGCAATCCAACGTGGCGTGCCAAAAATTTAACGTATGCGTCTTATGTAAGACGCGAAGGTCATTTATACAAAGTTTTTCTTGTCTTAACTAAGACGCGTCTTATCTAAGAACAGGTGTTAAGGGCTGTTCTAAAATAAGACGCGTCTTATTTTAGACGAAATGTGCCATTTATACGGAAAGTTTGGGTTTTATTTAAGACGCATCCTATGTAAGACGCATCTTATTTTTCCTTGGATAAATGGCCCTATTATTTATTCTTTTGCAGCTGAAATATGGCAGAAAGCAAACCCAAGCTACACTGTGCCTGGTTCTGCCCATTTGCTCACAGAGCATGGATTTCCATGCTGACAAAGGGCATGGACTTCGAGTACATAGAACAAGATCCTTACAACAAATCTCCAGATTGGCTTGCCATAAATCCCCGTGGCCTGATACCTGTTATTGTACATAATGGCAAATCCATCTATGAAAGCCATGTCTGTATTGAGTATATTGACGAATCCTGGCCTAGTGAACCAAGATTGTTGCCCAAAGATCCTTATCAAAGAGCAAAAGCTCGCATGTGGGGTGACTTTGTGTCTAAGAAACTCATTCCACCCTATTACAAGTTCCTTGTGAAACAGTCCCCAGAGGAACAGAGTGAAGGCAGGGAACAATTCTTGGCCAATCTTCTAGAGTTCACTAAAGCAATGGATCCAGAAGGTCCATTTTTCCTTGGCAAGGAATTGGGTTATGTAGATATTATGTTTGCACCTTGGTCATACAGGATTTATATTTTAAAGCATTACCGTAACTTTGAAATCCCGCGGACAGATGAATACAGAAGATATCATGTATGGGCAGAAGCTGTGAAGAATCATCCTTGTGTTAAACCAGTGCAGCAGGAAGAAAGTAGGGTTCTGGCAGATGCTAAGCCTTATGCTGAAGGAAATGCAAAGTCTGAGCTTGCAGATGCAGTCCGTAAGGGAAAGACTATCCCTTAAACTTGAGGCAAGGCCACTTTACTTCTTTTACTCCATATAAATGTAAACTGATCATGCATACAGAACTGCATGTTCATACAGACTACAAAGAAACATTGTTATGCTCATAAGCTAAAAAAATAAATACCTTGTATGCACTGCTTGTCTGACAATCTTTGAAAGCAAGTAGGACAATAATTATCAAGTGTTAGTAATTAAAGTAAATGTAGAGTAATAGAGATTACATATTACATGGTGCACAGAAATACAACATTTGTCTTCATAGTGTAAAAAAATATTTCAAGAGTGAACAAGTTTATTATATAAACACCAATTAAATACCAGTGAAATATGTTTTTGCTTCAAAATGTGCAATTGATCATGTAGCCATACCAATCGTCATCTTTTCTCATGTGAAGATAACATGTTATTTTCATGAGTGAAGATATCGTGTTTTTGCGTGAAAGCTCGCCTGGTATTTCATTGGTGTTTATGTACTAAAATCTATTTCCTTTCCTTATTGATTTCTTTCCACATTGCTCACTTTAATAATCGCGTCGTTTTTGTCAGATTTCAGGGCTATTATTTCTTGAGCAGTTGTTTTAGCATTGTAATGCTGTAAGATCTAAGTGGTTTCTCTTGACAGAATGTGTAATTTAAGTCGTCCTTGTATCCCATTTTGGTTGGGGATACATTTGTTACCAAAATTTGATGTAAAAATCTGTAATGAACAGTGGCAGATCCAGACCTTCAAATAAGAGCTAGGTGGGGGTAGGGCCCGGGGGGGGACTCCCATATGAAACAGACGGGGATGCTTGTCGTCTCGCTTAGGGGAGTAAATTTTGGATTTTGGTCTCGCTTAGGGTGTTCCGGGCAAAGCGCTAATATTTTAAGCCGCCAAGGTCTTGTTTAGGGTTCCGCGAAGAACTTGAGATTTATGACAATGCTTTTAAAAACTACTTTTAGATAAAAGCATTTGATGATTATATCTTTATATCATTAAAACTCATTGCATGTCGTATTTGTGTGTTTTTAAGCGGTTTCTTTTAGCCGTCAAAATTTGCTTAAGCCACGCCCAGATTGGTCTCCTTTAGGGGTCACAAAAAGCTTGAGCCACGCCCAGATGGTCTCCTTTAGGGGTTAAATTCAAAATTTCCGACAAGCATCCCCGTCTATTTCATATGAGAGTCCCCCCCCGGGGGGGTAGGGGCAGTCAGTTTGATCTAAAAATAAGTAAAAAGGCCCTTTGGCTGGATCTGCCACTGATGAAATTCAATCAGGTTAGTGCATTTAGTACATTTGTTAGCTATTGTGCACACATTATGCCAGTTTTTTCTACCACATGATTATATTCTCAACAGTCTTGTCGCCTTGGGTCTGAGGCCTGATGCATGAAAACATTATTTATTACTACAATCTTCTGTTTTTAGTGTAAGTAGTTGTGTTCCAAGCCTTGTTTTCTTTTTTTGTTATTTAGATGTTCTTTAGGTGTATTGTAATATGTGAAAGTATTAGAATACTTTTTCTAAGTACTTGTTTTTGTGGCATCTGTTCATAAGCTGACTGGTTTCTGTCCTTTTTTATTGCCTAAGGGTAAAAACCTATAAAATCCCATAAATTTCTTATGGGTATTTTTAGGGTTTAAACCGTTTCACTCTGTTCAGGGTTGGTCCCTTAAGGGTTGGTTCAAGGGACTAACGGATTTGTCTCACTCTTCCAAATTTGGGATTTTTGTGGGTATTCTTTAAATACCCTAAAATATCCAAAAATGGGAATCTGTTATTTTTTCCTGTGTTTCCAGCCCTCCCACATACTTTGTCATGCATTCCCCACCCATGTCTACTGAAATGAGTGGTTAAACTGAGTTTCTTTTCTTGAAATTGATGTTTGAAACTTAGCACACATAAAGAGACCAGGGGGAAATGAAAACTAGTTTTCCTAAGTGCCCATGCCAGTAGCAAAACTAAGAAACCATGGGACACTGGACATTGCATATCCTTGTTAAATATTAATTTTATTCCAGAAAAAGCACAGACTATAAGTTGTTACTGCCTTATTTTCCTCAGGAAGGGGTTGCAAACCGAGGAAAACGAGTTCTTCCCTTTAATTGTGAGTTGCATGCATGCTTGCGTCAGTGTTAAGTGATTTTAATAAAACAAATAATTAATAAAGTCAATGAGTTAAATTTACCAATAGTTTTGTCCATGAACAAAGCTCGTGCTTTAATGATAAAAGGTTTGAATCTTTTTTTTTTTTCATATAATAGTGTTTCTACATTACATTCTAAAATGGCTAAATTCTTCATGATTATTTTAGTATTATTTTTTACTAGGATTTACAATGTAACACACGGCTCGATGGAAGAGTAAATCTTTTTTGTTAGTTTGAAATGATACCATGTTTAAAAATATAAATGATGCAATCTATGTAATGTGAGAGGGTGCTTTTGGCATTGGTTGAAAACCTTCACCAATCCCCAAGATTTAATACTCTAAACATTTTGATTGCATAAGACATACAAAAAAAACATACTTTAAACAATATTGGAAGAAATTATGACTTTTTAAAGTAATGTTTTCCTCCTAGATACTTACAGCCCAGCCCAGTTATGATATACTACTCGTTGATGCAAGATTCAATGTTCAATGCCAAAAACAACCTCTCATGAACAAGGCTGTAAACGACACTTGCAAAAGATCTGGTGGTAAAAATGACCTTACTAATAAAAGAAAAAAAGGTTGCCCTGAACAGTACAAAAACCGCAAAGACTACCCTGACACTAAACTTGCCCACAAGTTGAGCTCAAAATTTTTCTTGAGTGCAAAGCACAAGCTAGAAATCTTTATGTTTTTGGCAGCAAAGCGATCGCGCTGGGGTTACTACCGGAACTGGAAACGAGAAGCGAAGGACTTTGAGAAAGTCTACCCTAACACATCAGGACAGACCTTTTACTGTGAAACTCAGATACTGGGAACACCAGAAATATTTCTGAAGGGTTATTGCCTTTCATGAAAAAAAGCCAGTTACCTAAGGTGTTCTCAGTTTTTGACTTGCACAGTAACTCCTGATGAAACCCTATGGTGTTACCATTCAAATGAAACCTCTTTGATGCTTTTGTGTCGTGGGTTGTTTATTTCACAAAATGTTACAAAAAGATATTGAGTTTTGTGTATTTTTTCTCCAAAACCTTTGACTGCAGTTTCCACAACACCAAGACAGATTGTTTTGGCTATGTTTTGGCAGATTGTTTAGGTACTACATACCTAAATAAAGGAAGAAAAACTAAAATGGCCCTACACAAAGATTAGCAGTACTAGTGCTTTGGCTGAAAAATCAATTTTGAAGCATTCTTTTTTAGTGGCAACACACTTTTATCCTTGTGACCCCAACATCATATAAAGCCTGCCTCAACAAAAAGGAACTCATATGAGCAAAAAATTGCCTGAAATCATTACCACGTACAGTTATTAGAAGTGCACAAAAAAATCTAGATATTTTCAAAGCACTTAATCAGAGTCCTCCAGTATGAAGGTCACCTTAGAAAAAAAAGGTTTAAAAGGCCATTTCTGAATTCCAAACCCCTCAATTTCAAAAATTAAATGAAGAAAAGTGCAATGCCTTTCACATAAAAATAAGTTTGATTTAAATAAGAACAGAACATTATTTTCCTATCAAAGACTTCACATTTCTGCTCAATTTGAAAAACACAGTAAAAGGTGCTCAGAAATGGACTGTTTAACAATGTCAAGGCATTGGTCCACCTTTCCTGATAGCATCACCAACTTGAGATTTGGCACTCCCATCAGCATATCTTTTGTAAGAGGCAATTAATTTTTCATCATCCTGTAAGGTATTTTTTACAGCAGGATCATTCTTGACAGCTTCCCACCACTTGTGGAACCTTTCAAACTCACTGCTTTGTGGCAACTCAAAGCCTCGATAGTGCTTCAGAATGTTAAACCTCGCAGCATAAGGGGCTAGCATGATGTCGACATACAGAAGCTTTTCCCCCTGAAAGAATGGTCCTGTAGGATGCATTGCTTTTGTAAAGGTGAGAAAATGACTTGTCAACTGAGGTTTGATTTCCTCTTGCTCATCTTTACCTTGTTTCATCAGAAGAGCATAAAATAATGGCACTATCTTCTTGCTAATGAAGTCTCCCCAGATTCTGGCATGTGCTCTCTCGTACGGATCTTCAGGCAGCAATCTTGGTTCACTAGGCCAGGCTTCATCTACGTACTCAATACACACTGAGCTTTCATAAACGGATTTATTATTATGCACAATGACTGGTACCATTCCACGAGGATTGACGGCCAACCATTCTGGGGTTTTGTTGTAAGGATCTTGCTCTATGTACTCAAATTCTGTGCCCTTTGCCAGCAAAGCAATCCATGCTCGTTGTGCAAAGGGGCAAAACCAGGCACAGTAAAGCTTTGGGGAGACCTCAGCAGACATATCAACTGGATTGAACCTGTCTGACATGAAAGAATATGGTTTAACATACCGTAAAATTCCGAAAATAAGCACTGGGGCTTATATTTTTCAAAGGCCCTTTTTGAGGGGCTTATATTCGGAGGGGCTTATCTACCGAGGGAAATTTGCGTTCCAAAATCGATTGTGCTAGCCTTATAGCTGGGAATAAATCTACCATTTTTGCCTTGTTTCACTATATATTTGAGGGCAACTTTCCAAGTACAAGTCCCCAGGGGGCTTACATTTGGAGGGCGATTTAACAGAGGGTTTTTTGCATTACTGGTTTGGGGGCCTTGGAGGGGCTTATTTTCGGAATTTTACGGTATTATAAGAGGACTGTTTAAGGATGGTTAACAAAGTGTGCGAGCCACATACAAGTGGCATGTGGTTTTTAAAGATGAAAGAAGGGAGAAACTCATAAAACTCCTTTTGTGCAACAATGTTGCATTTCCTTCAAGCAAATTTCAGTTTCCATTTAAATTATCATATTTAAGACTGATTCAGCAGTTTCTGAACTTGTATGTAAGAGGTACCCTTGCTTTTTTAACCATCAACAGCTGCAGCCCAACATTCATTTCCTGGTTGGCGTTTATAAATGCGTGGCCTTCCTTGAGGAAACACAGTCACTAAAGGTTTTGGGTGAGATAAAATATGTTTCAAAGTTCCTTTTATAGTAGCTACAAAGTCAGGGGGTTCACAATGTGGTGATGTGGATAGATTCTCAAGTATGAACTCGTCAGATGCCTTCAAAAAGAATGGAATATAGGGTATAATAACATCATTTTTGTATTCATATGGCGTGATCCGCAGTTCTTTGTAGGAAGAGTTGTAAATTTCTACCATGTTTTCTGCCGCGGTGAAGGTTCGAGCATGCCTTATGAACTCATCTGGTCCTTTGTCTAGAAAAGTTGCCGGAAAAATGTGACCATCTTGGACAGTAACACCGACTCCATAAGTGCAGGGTTTGTGTAAACCCACTTCTACTGTATCATTAAATTCTGTCACACAGGCAGAACTCAAGTGAATGGGTTCACCCTGACTCTGTATAACTTCCAATATGGAAGTTGTAAGATTGTTAGAAGTCCCTCTGTCATCTAAAAATCCCCCAAACAGATGTAGTAGTATCTGTCCACTTTTGTGGTCTGGGGAGCTGGACTTGACAGACGAAATCATGTTCTTAATTCCATTGCATGTATCATGGCCATCAAAGTGTCCTAAACTAGTCACACCAGATGATGTGTTCTGTAAAACGATTATATGGCAAGTTGTCGCATCTTCCGACCCAATAACAGTAACATTTTCATCATCACGTGCAACAGTTGCAAATTCTCCTTGAGTGACATAAAGAAGACCTCCACTTCCAGTTTTTCTGATGGGCTTCTTACAAAATTCCTCGGCAATTTCCTTGAAATGCGGATACTTTTTGGCAAAATCAGCGGATGAACGAAATCGCGAGTCCTCAGTCTTACCATCAACTATCAACGGCATCCCGAGTTTATAGCTTAAGCTAAACTGTCTACAACGGTTAAAATTGAGTCCTAGGTTGTGTAGCTGTAGACACAACACAATTTTTTCAACTTCCTTCTTCGTTGCTAACCTGAGATCAGGCTCAATTTTCGTTTCCCATCTCAGGCTACTTCGTCACTTACCTTGGGAATCCGAAGGGAATCCGGGGAATGAAATAACGTCCATCATGCAATGCGCGGAAAAAGGAGAAAACTGTCTCGAGAGACGATGCGCCCACGATGGTAGCAGGCGGCGAGAGGCCTCGAAACGGGTAGGAGATTGGGAGAAAGGGAAAAAGGAAGAGGGAATGGGGAGAGAGGGTAAGGGACTCCCCTCTCAACTCCCCTCTTGACTCCCCTCCCTTTTCCCTTTTTTCCTTTCTACCCCTCCTGGTTGAAAAGATAAGGACGTTGGTCGACTTTTGACGTTGTAAATTGCAGATTTTGGTCTCATTTGGAGTGTTCAGGGCGCAAGTTTGTCCCTAGCCTGCGTGGCAAGCGTTTCCGTGCGGTTTAGGAGCAAAGAATGAGGAACAAGAGTCAAAGACTGAGCGAAAAATGGCGCAAGTAAAAGAGCGGGGAGGGGCTGGGGAAGAAAGAAAGGAAAAGGTTTCCTTCCCCTTCCCTTCCCCCTACCCCCTCTTTCATTTTTTGGTTCTCGTTTCATTTCTCGTACGGTCAAAACCGAAAATCTCTTTCCATGGTCTTTTTTTGCTCCGAAACCAAACGGAAACGCTGGCTACGCGGACTAGTTTGTCCCTAATAACCCCTGGTCCATGGACCACCCTCGTTCCACCCTCTTTCCCATTTCAAACAAAGTGGTTGGACAGACATCTGGCTAGACTACGAGTAGTCCCCCATTTGTCCTCAGAAATAGTAGAGCGAGCGAAAATTAAAACGCGACTGTGCGTTAAAAATCACCTCACGGGAGAAAAGGCGACACGCGTCTCGCCTTTCTCACGTGGGGTGATTTTCACGCGCGCTCGCGTTTCGCTTGCTCTACTATCCCTGAGGAAAAATGGGGGACTACTCGTAGTTTAACATCTGGCAAGCTTTGTGGACGTAACGATTATATGTAGGTCATCTTGTGCTTGATCCGTAAGCAGGAGTGAATAAGTTTGCCGATGGAGAAACGTTTCCGTGGGCCGGGCCATCATGTTAGGGGAAGTCTGGGGAGGGTATGAAATATGACAACACACACACACAAAAAAACGTCTGCGTAGGAGACTACTTCCCACTTACCACAAATTTGAACGGGTGTATCATATGCAAGCCTGATAATATAAATTTACAGCAGTTTTGTTCATTAAAGGTTCCTAGAATTCATTTAGACCTCTGGTAAGACTCATCTGCAAAAATTAGGGGTGGTCCATAGGGTAGACCGGGTCCACGGAGGGGTCCATGGACTAGGTCTGCAGGGATGGCCCCTGGACTGGTTTTGAATACGTCCCTAATAATCAGTGCCCCATATATCTCTTACTAAGGGAGTCATAAGAAGGAACCGATCAACCTCGTTTTGACCTCTATCTCCTAAACAGGATATATAGAGAGAATCTGTCCTAAAAAGGGTGTATGATTTCACGCGAGTCTGTCCTTATTACAATTAAAAGGTTATTCCCCTTCAAATTGCCTGCACGATTAATTTGATTTGCTTCCATGAAATATGTTTGTACTCCTACAAAAGCGATTACTATGACGTAAATTTGCACGGGCGGATCTAGGGGAGGGTGCAGGGGGTGCGCACCCCCCCCCGCCCCTGAGATGACCTGCGGTTTTCTAATACAGCTGGTATTCTGCAAAAAGAAAAAACTATGTGGTTTATTGGTGTTGAACTAGAGCAAGAGACGAGTGCACCCCCTCCTCAAAAAAATCCTGGATCCGCCCCTGATTTGCTCTATTGAAGACAGCGTGTGCATTTTGTCCTTTGTCCTACAAAAACACAGGGGCACCCGACGATAGGTTCCTCCTAAATGTATTGAAACTTTCTTTAGTCTATCCAGAGTACTTTTAGATATCTAGAAATGCATTCTAAACGCTATGAAATATTAATTTTATCTGTTCGTTTATCCTAGGGGAAATTGAATCTTCTCGAAAACACTAGGGCTTCAGTATTATTTTCCCCAAAATTTTAGATGCAATTGAAAGTTTTACGAAAGAGAGAATTGCTCTTATTCCTCTCTCCGTCACATTTTTGAATCCAAAAAGTTTATTAGGTTTCCTTTTTCTACGAAAATTAGCCTAAAATGTGAGAAGTAGGGAACATAGTAAATAAGCTTCGAAAATTGTACCTGAATGGAAAGATCATCTAGAAATCATTCTAGCCTTCCTCAAGCAATAGAAAATTATAGGCAATATTTTCTTCTCCGAACAGATAATGCAAACAGGGGTATGCAGATACTTTTGTGTTTTGGCCATCTCAATAAGTCTAAGAAGAAAACAAAAAGCAAACTGCGGTGATAAACATAAGGGAATACAAACGCATTTCTGGAAAGAAAGAAAGACTTGAACTTGACGTTTTGTATGTTCCAACATACATCTTCAGAATTAATAAACTGTTGAATAACAACAGAAATTTAAATGTAGAACTAATTAAATAGACAAAAGATTAGTAAAAAATTTGCATCCACTGAGAAAAAGAATGCATATTAAAAAAGGTAAAGTTTTTCATTGCTGACATTTTCATTTAGGGAAGGTTGTAAGTCCCTAATAAGCAGAGTCTCCTATATATTGCAATGCAATGGGTGTATGTATTTTAGGATTTTTTTCCTAAACAGAAATATCAAAAAATACAAATACTTCCTTGTCGAACAAAACCACGTTCAAAGACAACCCGTCAAACGAACGATTACATAAGAATAATGAACAGGATGATCAAGACAATCAACAATCAGCGACAAAGTCACTGTCATACTTTCCATCAACCCTGAAACATAGGAGAGCGATACGCAAAGAAATATTTTCAAGCTTTTATATTTTCAATGGAAAAGAGGCCGTCTGCTAGCAAGCATGGATGCGGTATGGACGCATGTAAAAGACCAACAGGGCCGCGCGCCAAACTAACGATTACGTAATAATGAATTGACCAATCAACAATCAGTTACTCGAGAACTCATGGCCGCCTGCGTCATCGATCTTCCCTTTTCATCCATTTTACCGGCGAGGACCGTGTCTTCGTAATCGTCTCGTACGTTTTGTCAAATTTGCCCAAGTTTGATCAAGACTCTCTTCAGATAACAGTTCATTATTATGTCTCGTTACGACAGAGGTCGTTCATTTGATCCAGGTAGTCGTTCAGAGCGAAAAAGGTAAGATTTAATGCGACGGGCAGAATACTTGACAGGAAACAACCATCGTTTAGATTAGTTTTTAGACAACCCTGTTTGGTTCATTTAGCAGCTAAATCTTTCGGTTTGTGGGAAATATTTTCCTTGAGAAAATGGCTTACCCGAGCTTCTGAAGTATGTTTATACATTAATGCCGAAATCTTTGGCGTAGAAAAGAAATATTTGTGGCGTTTTCGGGAGTGCTGCCGCAACCTCGTGCGACAAGCGGCTTTCTCAATTTTCAATTCATTGCCCACCGAAAGCGTGAAAGTTTCGTAGGATTTTATTAAGCTGGCAGCTATTATTTCTTTTCGTTGAAATTATATCACGTTAAGCTTTTTACCGGTTTATATGTTGGTAAAGTCAGTGTTTTTTCTCAGCAAGGTTTCGATCAAAGCAAAAACACGGTGTGGAAAATTCCTAAGGGTTAATTTATTATTCAACACAAAAATGTAAGTTTATTCCAGTAGTTGCAAAAATTTTCGTCCCTTTTTCGTGCATCTTAATTATAACAGAATATATAAGTGAGGTACTTTCTCTTCAAGTAACCGTGTTATAAGGATGTGTTTCAAATCCTACTATACCAAATTAGTGAAAGCTTTGCTAAAGGGAAAATTTTTTGAAAGATGAGGGAAAATTTGATGAAAGTCAAACTTGCTCTTTCTTTTTCATATCCAATTTTTTTGGGCACCTGGATACTCAAGACCAACACGCTAGATATTTGCATCAAAAGTGAAAGTAGCCTGGGACCAGGCTCCGCAGTGGGAGAAAAAAGCCAAAAAATGGGGTCAAAGGAAAAATCTCAGTGAGCAAAGCAAGCTGAGCAGTGGCTTTGGGAGGGGTAAAAAGTGGCAGAGCCTGGAGACATGCCTTTGATGCCGCCGTTCCATGATACCAGATGCTGGTATCATGCTCTGATTGGTCAAATGCCTTCATTTGACAGATTAACAGTGCTGTTGACAGTATTGCACTCTTTCAATATCACGCTCTTACAATTCGGGATAAGATTTTTCTAAACATGAATTTTGAGCAAGCAGTACAAATTTCTTTGTGAGACTTTTTGCTTATCCCTCGGCTCCAAAACAGAGCAAAAGAGCCTGTGATCTGTTGCAAAAAGAAAAAGAAGAATTCAAAATATCAAGCTTTTCTTATTCATTCCTGTTATAAACTGTGATCTCATTTTCAAAGCGTTATAATCGTGTTCCTACCAAAAGCGTGATAAAACCCAAAATCAGTGGATTTCTGCAAAGAATTCATGTTGTGTACAACTAAGCCTTGTGCTCAGAGAACGTGTAAGCCACAACTGTACAAAGATACCCTGTGAGCACTTGTTTCTATCTTGCATGGCTCTTGCATCATTTTCAAAATTATTGAATCTCGAGAAACAGGCTCCTGGCCTTTATGTGGTGTCCCAAAAATGGTTCAATGGTTCAATGGCTCTTGTGCAAAAAAAGTTTTGGGTCCTCAAGCTATCATTTTGAAATTTCTTTTGTTTATGTGTGAGTGGAAAGTGTAATTTATGCCTCAGTCAATTCCAAGCATGAGTAACCCCCTGTAGGGGAATGGGGGAGGCTTCTTTTCCTTTGGAAGTTTCAAATACCCCCATAGTGGGGCCAGCAGATACATACAAACACCCC